CATCTCATTCTCTGCTATTCCCTCCTCCTTTTGCCTCCAATCTTTCCCAGCATCAGGGTCTTTTCCAATTAGTTGGCTCTTCACATCGGGTAGCCAAAGTAATGGAGCTTCAGCGTCAGCATCAGTCCTTCCGATGAATAATAAAGGTTGATTTCCTTTAGGACTGACATCACTTACAAACATTTTTTGAGCCCCCACAATGGGCCAGGCTCTGAGGATACTATGACAAAAGACACAGTTTTGATGCTTGACTTCTTCCATTCAAACCTAATTTATTCCATTTCCTTGTTGCTCTCACTTTTCTCCCAATGTCCCTCCCAGCTGTTTTGATTCCTGGTCATTTGCATCATTTTTGGCAAGACACTCTAGAGGATCAATTCCTGATGTAGCAAAACCGCCCACATCCATCTGTCCTAGTCCACTCTTTCGGGATAGGGTTAGCTCTTGGCCCTCCTTCATGTACTGCTTATCCCCTTAAGTCTTCCCTCCTAGAGAAGGTGCTAGGTCAACTGTTGTGAACATGAAATGAAATAGACTGTACTCCTGATTGCCACACAAGTTTAAGTTTCTTCTTCTGAATGCATTTACCTTAAAGCAAACATTCCGTGGGCTTCCGTCGTAGCTCAGTCGGTAAAGAATCTGCCTGCAGTGCAGGCAGGAACCCAGGAGAACTGGGTTCGATTCCTTGGTTGGAAAGGTCTCCTGGAGAAGGAAATGGCAATCCACTCCAGTATTCTTGCCTGGAGAATCCCATGGACAGAGGAGCCTGGTAGGGTACAGCCCATGGAGTCGCAAGAGTCGGACACAACTTAGCGACTAAAGAGAAAGAAATGTTCTGCAGGGAGCACGCTTCGTTGTGCTTCCTTCCCCCTCTCCTCCTGGTTCCCTGAGGAACCTCTAGTTCCTCTGTCAGTAGCCTTCTGGTTGGAGTTGATATTCATCCTGCTTCTGCTGTGAGGGGAGACCTGGCTCAGCTTAAGTCACTCCGATCAGAGTGAACCCAAAGACTCTGCCTCGGAATTCTGGAACCCCAAATCTCTTTTCTTTGTGGAGCTTAGTTGTATGAGGTTGTGAGGCGCACAACTGCCTTTTTCATGATGAATAAGCCTGGAATTTCCAGGGAGCACTGCTGAAAGCCTGAGGATGGAGCCAAACAAGAGAAATCAGAGATGAAAGATGGGCCCAGGACATGGGGTATGGGCCCTGAATCCAGCTGGGCCTGAACCAATTCTACATCTGGGTTAATCTATTAAGTGAGCCAATTAGCTCCACTATCCCCTTTGAAAACACTGATTCAAGTTTAGTTTTCTGTCCCTTACAAAAGATTGCCAGCTAAGTACTATCCTTAGGCTAAGGCTCCCCAAATGGGGTGCCAAGGTGCATCTGTGAGCTGAGTTATAGATATTACTTGAGCCCCTTGGGAGGGGCTCAGAACAGCCAGAGTGCCAGGGATGGTCATCTCTGGAAGCAAGTAGCTTCCATTTACCCCAGTGAGACAACAAATGCAAAATTTTAATGTGCTCCATTATAGTGATTTTAAAATATGTTCGAAAATTTTATAACACTGCTCCATTCCACTCCTTGAAAGTGAACTGAACTTTGTGACTTGCTTCTGAAAAACAGAATATGGCAGACATGAGGGAGTATGACTTCTGAGGCTAGGTCATAAAGGACAAGGCCACTTTTGGCTTGCTTCTCCTGAACTGTTCACTCTGGGGGGAAGTCAGTGAGTACCTATGCAGAAGGGGTTGAGGTCTACAGGCAGAAGAACTGAGGCCTCCCATCAATGACCAGCATCAACTCTCCAAAGTTATGAATGAGCCACCTTGGAACAGAATCCTCCAGCTTCAGTCAAGCCTTCAGATGAAAGCAGCTCTGGCCAAAGTTCTGATTGCAACCTTTCATGTAAGACCTTAAGTCACACTGCCCATCCACACTGATCCTAATCCACTGGAACTGCGTCAGGTATTGTTTACTGCTGTGTTAAACTAATGAGTTTAGGGGCTGGCTGGCTGTTATATTATGCTTCAGTAAATAACATTTACACCCAGAATGTGAAAAAGATTGAGAAACTCTGCTTTAAGTCCAAAAAAGAGTACACTGGTTACTGCAGACATACACAGCAATATATGAGAAACTTTAGTTTAGTTTTTTTTTTTTTTTTTNTTTTTTTTTTGCAAAATACTTAGTCAATAGCAGCATTACAACATTTGAGATAACAAGCATTTAAAAATACATTTAAAGCAAAACAAAAGATCCCTGTCTTTGCAAACATACTTGCAAACACAATTATCAGTGACAGCTCTAAAAGTTTTTGCTTTTATAACTAATGTATTGTTATGGAAAGGACTTCTTACTGAATAGTATTATGGCATTTAAGACAAACTCAATCAGGTCTACTCAATATATTCAGGTTTCACTTTCCTGAGATTCTTAAGAGCTGGTGACAATTGCACTCAACACCTTGTTACAGGAAAGGAGGCATGAAGCTAATCAGGTTTCTCCCATAAGCCTGTACAGAAGTTTGCAAAGTAAAATCAAGTGGGCTATCACCACATAGCAGCTTTCTCTAACTTTCAGGATACAAAGGCCTAATCTGCTTTACTCTTAGGAATGTCTGAAATGCTTCTTTCTTAATCCCCTAGTTAGGATACACAATCATTGGAGAAGGAAATGGCAACCCACTCTAGTTTTCTTGCCATGAGAATCCCATGGACAGAGGAGCCTGGCAGGCTACAGTCCATGGGGTCACAAAGAGTCGGACACGACTGAGCGACTATCACTCATCATCATCAATCAGAGGACCGATGTCCAAGTTGTTTGTTTATGCCATCCCTTAGGTAAGTGCAATGCCTCCACTTCATTTATAACCATTACAGAAAGAACACCTCCCCTGAAGTAGGAAATAATAACTCACTTCAGTATTCTTGCTTGGAAAATTCCATGGACAGAAGCATCTCACAGGCTACAGTCCACAGGGTTGCAAAGAGTCAGAAACAACAGAGTACACACCCAAAGAACAAGCAAACTATCTGGAATTGAGAAGAGCCAGGGTTAGTTCAATAAGAGAATGAGTTAAACCACTGTTGACGAGTTCACACCTGCCAACTCGACCAGCTTCACTTCTAGGTAAACCCATGGGCTCTCGGTCAGAATTTTTTCTTACTCTAGACACTGTTCCTCCTATTTTGCTAATCTATAGTCTGGGCACACAGATCAGAGGCATCATATCATAAAAGTTGAGAGTTTCTAGAATTTTACCACCCAATATAGTAGCCACTAGTCACATGTGACTATGAGCACCTGAAATGTGGCTGAACTTAATTGATACTAGGTGTAAAGTATAAAATCTCTAAGTATAAAATACATACATACAAATTTTGAAGACTTAGTATGAAAAAAGGAATGTAAAATACCTTAATAATAATTTTTATATTGATTACATGCTGAATTGATAATATTTTGTATATACTGGTTAAATGAAATGTATCATGAAAATTAATGTCACCTGTTTCTTTTCCTGATTTTTTTTAATGTAGCTACCAGAAAATTTAAAATAACATATGCAGCTCATATTATATTTCTATTGGACAGTGCTGGTCTAGAAGCAGGCCTACTCAGTTATTCATTTAATTATTCAACATATGTTTATTAAGTGTCTCTGTGTGTTGAGTTCTAGGCTAGGAGACATGAGAGCAACAGTGAACCTGTGAAGTACCTGTGAAGTGTGTGGTACCCACTGTAATACAAGAGAGACCGAAAGTGAAAGCAGGGGACATTTAAACTGGAATATTTTAGGTCACGGGATTTTAGGGCTCTTAAGAGTTAAAAGCCAGCCCTGCATGACTTAGCACCTAACCCTTACTATATCTGAAGGCACGATATAATTGGTGTTGATAATGACGGCCACTCTCGAGTCACTGAGAAAAGGCTATATTCCATACTGCCTCTTGTAGTCTGCTGCGCATTATGGCTACAGCCACACAGATGCTCTTCCTCACTACGCTGAGAGGCTCTGGCGGGCAGTGACAATGTTCTTTGACCTTGATCTCACCCAATGCCTCCCGCACAGAAGATACTAAACAACACATGGAAGTAAAGCATGTCATATGTACTCATTTAAGAAAACAATTAAATACACCATGTACTTTAGGAAGAGTTCTCCCCCAAATGTCTAAAGAACAAAAGGTTTGCCATTTAAACTAGTAAGTTTCAGTAATTAAAAGAAAAATTTACTAGGTGTAAAGTATAAAATCTCTAAGTATAAAATACATACGTACAAATTTTGAAGACTTAGTATGAAAAAAGGAATGTAAAATACCTTAATAATAATTTTTATATTGATTACATGCTGAATTGATAATATTTTGTATATACTGGTTAAATGAAATGTATCATGAAAATTAATGTCACCTGTTTCTTTTCCTGATTTTTTTTAATGTAGCTACCAGAAAATTTAAAATAACATATGCAGCTCATATTATATTTCTATTGGACAGTGCTGGTCTAGAAGCAGGCCTACTCAGTTATTCATTTAATTATTCAACATATGTTTATTAAGTGTCTCTGTGTGTTGAGTTCTAGGCTAGGAGACATGAGAGCAACAGTGAACCTGTGAAGTACCTGTGAAGCGTGTGGTACCCACTGTAATACAAGAGAGACTGAAAGTGAAAGCAGGGGACATTTAAACTGGAATATTTTAGGTCACGGGATTTTAGGGCTCTTAAGAGTTAAAAGCCAGCCCTGCATGACTTAGCACCTAACCCTTACTATATCTGAAGGCACGATATAATTGGTGTTGATAATGACGGCCACTCTCGAGTCACTGAGAAAAGGCTATATTCCATACTGCCTCTTGTAGTCTGCTGCGCATTATGGCTACAGCCACACAGATGCTCTTCCTCACTACGCTGAGAGGCTCTGGCGGGCAGTGACAATGTTCTTTGACCTTGATCTCACCCAATGCCTCCCGCACAGAAGATATAAACAACACATGGAACTAAAGCATGTCATATGTACTCATTTAAGAAAACAATTAAATACACCATGTACTTTAGGAAGAGTTCTCCCCCAAATGTCTAAAGAACAAAAGGTTTGCCATTTAAACTAGTAAGTTTCAGTAATTAAAAGAAAAATGTCCTCTTTCAGAATATAAATTCATGCATACCTGATGATATAAATGAAAAAGTTGTGTGACATCCAAATGAAATTCTCTCTCATGACCACTAAGACTAAATATTATATATGAGGTGTGACCCTGGATAGCACTGTTTGACCAAGGCCATAATCAGGCATCTTTCTTCTCTGAAATGCTTTACCGAAGAGTTGTGAGTTGTCAAAATTAAAAAAAAGGAGTTGCAAAAGGAAACATTTTGCTTGCAATTCTTATAATGTTTTCAGTACCAGTCAAGGTAATCAGTCACATTAAAAATATATAATTTAATTCTCAAATAATAACTTTGTTCATCTTTCTCCAAAGAATCCAAAGCTGAATATATTCTCTAGCTGATGTACACATGCTGACAAACAGCAAGATGCTCAGAAATGAAAGCAGAAGTATTATTCTTTTATAAAAATAAACTTGGTCCCAGAGAAGAGAATAAAAAGTGATACCAAGAGTCAGCGTAAGAAAAAAAAGCCATGCTTTAGAGGAGAATTGTTTCAATTTTAGTAAATGCATCATCTGCAACTTGGAGCGGGTCACTCAGAGTACCATGTATCTCCTACATCAGTGCTGGAGTGTGCACCTCTCTAAAGTGTGTTAAATTAACAACGTAACAGAACAAAAAAGCAAAAATAACTGTACAACAATTAGTCTACCATTACCAAAAGGGAATCAAGTTCACAAATAATTGATCCCAGATTTCTAGCCTTCATGATCTTTTGATTTCTAGTAAGCCTTCCCCTCACAGATTTATTGGAATGTTTGTACTCCAACAAGTTCAGCTTTTTCCCATAAAAAGGGGATGGACAAGTTCACTCTGAATAGGTTGGTGGATAACTTTTCCATTTTCCCTTGGGCAATTTGGGTTTATCTAAATATAGGTTAAACTCAAAAACAGATGGGAGGAAGTCATCCCTTGGCTAGGCAGTGCCTGACCACTCAGCAGGAGATGCTATTTATGCCTTGTTTTGTACAATTACGTGAAAAAGCACGCCTTAACAAATAACACAGGCACCCCTGATGAACCAGCCTCCAGCATCTCCATCTGCCAAATGTCCGAAGTCTGGTCGCACCCCATTTGCGTGTAACTCCCACGGTCACTTGGGTCCCAAAACTTCCAGAGTACGTCCGCTCAGGGAGCGTGTGGTGTATCCTGTGTGGCAAATATCCTGTTTTAGGTACCAGCGGGTCCTTCTCCAGGGTCACAGAGCCTCCAGTCTTCCTGGGTAGGATAGTTTTTCTTGGCTGCCCTGTGACAACTGGGTTTCACATTTCCTGAAACTGGATCTGTGGAAGGAGTCTCTGAAATTAAGGAGGGAAAAGAACAGAGGAAAGAAAGATCAGTTAGCCTTTTAAAGAGAGGGAGGGGGAAAATCATTCACTAGAAAAAGACATCTATCATGGGGAACTCAGTAAATAAGTAAACAAGGGAAAGTGCGACCATGCCTTTGCGCTATGCCAGGAGAAACCCAGGCAATAATTTGGCCCTGGGAAGATGCTGGCAGAAGGCCACACGGAGGGGCCCCAAGAGGTCAGGGAGAAGGCGCAGGGGGATTGGGATGCCAGCAGATCACGCTTGGGCAGCTTCTCTGATCCCAGGGCCCACTCCCACCCCCGGGGGCTCTGCAGTTCTGACTGTCCTTTATCCTCCAGGAAAAAAGCCTCCCCTGCCTTCTTCTCACCTCTTTTGACTGTCAACTCTGAATATTGGCTTGTAGAGTTCCGGAATTTTCCGCTCGATCATTGGTCGGAGGTTCTCTTTCAGCTTGTTGTAGTTCTTCTTAAGTTCCTGCTGATACTCCCTCTGATCTGCCGTGATGAGACGCTTGTTTTTCTCTACGGCTTCCCCACATCTGAGATGCAAATATCAAGGGGGGGAGAAAAGGAGGTTGTATTTCACAGAAATTTTGTATATTTAACTCATACAGGTATGCTATAACCGTAACATCTCCAGTGAAGAACTACGACATGGAAAGCTTAACTAACTCACCTCAGGTCATAAAGTCAATAAACTGCAAAGCCAGCTCCAGAGTCTGTCTCCCACGCGGGATGTTACATACCAAAGAAGAACATTATCTTATTTAAACATAACGAAGCCATGCCTTTCCTTTTATAGTGTTTTACCCAAGGAAACTTACTATCAACAAACCTTGAAGGGACAACACAATGGTTGAAACTTAGCTGACATGCAATGACTAGGAGAATTAATGCTTTGGAATTGTGGTGCTGGAGAAGACTCTTAAGAGAGAGTCCCTTGGACTGCAAGGAGATCAAACCAGTCAACCCTAAAGGAAATCAACCCTGAATATTCATTGGAAGGACTGATGCTGAAGCTGAAGCTCTAATACTTTGGCCACCTGATGAGAAGAGCCAGCTAATTGAAAAAAGACCCTGATGCTGGGAAAGACTGAGGGCAGGAGGAGAAGGAGGTGACAGAGGTGATTGGATGGCATCATCGACTCAATGGACATGAATCTGAGCAAACTCTGGGAGATGGTGAAGGACAGGGAAGCCTGGTATGCTGCAGTCCATGAGGTCGCAAAGAGTCGGGCATGATTTAGTGACTGAACTACAATGATTAGTAATGATGCAGGTGCATTGGATTCCCATGATCAACATGGTTTAAACTATTTTCCTAATAGTGGTGCTTGATTTGGGTGCTGTTATTGGGGATACCTGGGCCTCCCCGGTGACTCAGTGGTAAAGAACTTCCCTGCCAATGCAGGAGATGCGGGTTCGATCCCTGGTAGGGAAGATCCTCTGGAGAAGGAAATGGAAACCCACTCCAGTATTCTTGCCTGGGAAATCCCATGGACAGAGGTGCCTGGAGGGCTACAGTCTATGGGGTCACAAACAATGGGGCATGACTTAGCAACTGAACAGCAACAACATGGATACACAGGCCTTGCTATCAAATCCTCCCTATTAGTACTGAACACATATTCAGGATGACAAAGTAATCAGGTAGCATGTAGCTATGAGGCAGGGGAAAGCCACCTGGTCTGAGCAACATTAAACCTATGGACACAGCTCCATCATGGAATCAGCCTGCTTTAGAAGAAAGGCTTGATTCAATGCACCCTAGAAGCCTGCAACTGGATTTTCACCTATCTTTTAAGTCTGACATTAACTGAAGCAAACTGTAGTATACCCAAGGTCGTATATCAAAGGTTTCAGGGAAGAGGTAGGAAGGGGCAGTATATAGTCTTTGAATCCTGAGAAATCTACATCACCCCTTATTAATTTTTTTATTGCCCCTTAACTAACAATTATGAGCTACCACCACATGTAAAATGAAATCAGTTTCAGGGTGACTTCAAGGCCCAGTTTTGTAACCTTGGCAGATGAGAGGCCTGCGGAAGTGAATTGCTAACTTGGGGATGGGCTACTTTGCAAACTTAAGAAGTAACTACACTCTTTACGATCTTTGTTATCAGAAGACATAATATTTACAGATACACATACTGTTTTAAAAAGACAAATATATTAATAGGTAGAATGAAAAATACTCATATTTGTATAGTAACTTTATATTTTAACAAATTTTATAACAGTATTTCATAGATGTTTTCTGTATTTCTTTCTTCCATTTGGATTATAATCTCTAGGTTTTCTTACTAAAATTAAAATAATTTTCATTATGTTAATTTAAATCCATAAACTAAAGAGAGCCATGAATTAAATTTCTCTCCTAGAGAAGAGCCAGATCTCTTGGGAAATGTATACAGGATCATATAAGTACATTATAAATAATTTTTTTAAATGGTCTTATCTGTAACATTTTTATTAGGTCCACAAACATCTGAACTGTGCAGCTTTCACTCAGATCCACCACTGTTCCAGATGGCTCCCTCCTTTGCTGTTCACTTTGTTGATAAGCTCACTGAACACAAGCATTTTCTTACAGTCAATGTGCTGGGGTTTTTCAGCAGAGTCCTACAGAAACCAGACTGATGCGGACTAGAAAGGGCAGGAAGTTGTACTTTCAGACACTGTTCTTGGTTTTTTGGGGAGTAACTCTCATAGGCCTCTCTCTAAGGAGTTAGATGTCTTTTCTACAGAGAGGGTGGCCATGAGCCCTCACCCTCTGGATCTCTTGCCCTCCCTCCTCGGCAATGTTCCTTCAGCATAGCTCACCCATCAGTCCCTAAGTATGACAAAAAATTGCCAGTTGCTTCATCAACATGCATTCCCTGTCCTCCTTAACAACAGAACTCTAGGTGGTAAACCAGGGCTTCCCTGATGGCTCAGAAATAAAGAATCCACCCACAGTGAGGGAGACCTGGGCTCGATCCTTGGGTTGGGAAGATCCTCTGGAGGAGGACACAGTAACCCACTTCAGTATTCCTGCCTGGAGAATCCCCATGGGCAGAGAAGCCTGGTGGGCTATGTCCATGGGATCGCAAAGAGTTGGACACAAGTGATCAGCTATGCACACACACAGGTGGTATACCCACCTGGAAAACTCAATTCCCGAGCCTCCCGTATAAAAAGGGATGTCTGATGAGATATAAAATGAAGTTACTAGGAAAGCTCTTAAAAGGAGTGGAGATGTTCGCTCTTTCCGTGTTTCTATTCCTGATACTTGCCTAGGATGTGATTGTGATTGCCAGAGCCTTAGCAGCTATTTTGTGACTATGAGGATAGATACACTAAAACCAGGACAGCAGAGAAAAGAATGGGAAAAGCCAGGGTCTCTGATGACTTTATGTGACTAACACACAGCTGTGGGATGGCTATCTCTGATATTATTTTATGTGAGAGAAAAATAAGTTTCTATCTTAAGTCACTCTTACTTCCTTTCTCTGTTACTAGCAACCGAATGTAGTGCATAGTGAGAACTGCATTGCATAACAGTTAAAAGGATAGACTCTGGAACTGGAGTACTCACCTCTGAATCTTGCTTTGCAACTTATTGCCTTTGTGACACTAGACAAGTTACTTATGCTTTCCTTGTCTTAGTTTCTTCACTTGGGACATGATGGTGATAATAGCCTACCTCATAAATTTTTATAAAGATTAAATTAATATATAAAATGCTTAGAATGTGTGGAAATTATTTGTCCTATGTAAGAATGAGGATATACTTTTAGAGATTTTATATTCCAGTCCATTTTTTTCACAGTTGATGAAACTAAGATACAAAGATGAAGTACCCTGTCCAGAATCACACACCTTTGGGGACAAAAAACATGGATGTAAATCCAAGATCCTGATGCTCCCAGGCCAATGTCTTATCAGCCCTACCATGTGTTACGGTACAAACCTTACAGAGGCAGATGAGTCATTGGTAGACAATATCTACATTTAATTCAGATTAATTCTCTTTCCTACTCAAACAGATCAATTTCTATTTGCTCCATAATGTTATATTTATCAGTCACTTCGTATGTGCCAAGTCCTATTCTAAGCTCCATGAACTGACTCTGTTTTGATACTAACTTTAAGAAGTTGTTACTATTTTATTTCCATTTTATAGCTTGGGAAACTGACATTGGGTAACTTGCCCAAGAGCACAAAGCTAGCTAAGGCAGAGTGGGTATTTAAAGCCAGGTGACTGGGATCAAAAGCCCACAGTCCTGACCCCAACACCACAAATGCTACCTAGGAAAGACCCTGGCTCTTCCAGCTAGAAGCTAGGTATATGGCTTTGGTCTCAAGTTGGAACTATTCTCTCTGGAGTCCCAATTTGTGGTATTCTGCTTTTCTCATCTTCTTGGTAACACTTTAGCAAGTCCCACCTGAGCTGCTGGAATGAGGGGAGAATCCGACAGAGATGCTGGAAATCAGATTGGCTCCCTGATCTCCCATGACTGAAATGACACATATGTTCCAGGCCCTTTAAGGGAAGGAAGGATTATTTGGGGGCAAGGCACCAAAAGAACATCTGGCCTTTTTGCAGGAAGAGCTTCAGAGGATATGAGGGTCCCATGGGCAGAGCCACCTCAGCTGGACACCTCTGTGTGGCTTTCTCCAACCCTGTCTCCGGCATTTCCTCCCTCCCAGTCTGACCTCTATCAAATCCCAGACCCCAGCCTGTCTCAGTGGGAGACTAGTTTAATACCTGATTCTGCCACTTAGCTGCTGTGTGACCTTGGGCTAATCACACAGCTTAACCTCGTTTCTTCCATCTATACAGTGGGTTTATGGGGATGAAATAGTCTCGGTGTTTGAAGACCTGGCTGGGTGGCTGCCAGTGGGGAGTGCTGGGCAGCCAGTGTGGCCTGCTTCTTCTAGGGCGAAGAGCAGGTAACGGTCCAACAGCAGACGCAGTTCCTGGGCGCCCGATCACACTGATGGGGAGGCACGTGTGGCTGAAAGCACAGGGCACTGTGGGGGCAGGGGACGCACCCCAGGGCAGAAGGGGCAGCTGCGGCTGGATCTTCCTGTGTTCCCAAGCCCCCCACCTCCCTCGGATGGGCTGCCCCAGAGGGGCCCACGCAGCTGCCTCCCTTGGGTAAGCCACAGTGGCCCTGTCTCCTCCTCTAATGGGTGAGATTGGAACTATGGGCTTGGAAATATGTCCAACCTTGAGTCTGATACCTGGAAGCAGATTCTGAGGACCTACTGCAACATCTCAGAACCCAGGTGGGGAGTGGGGTCCAAAGGTAGGGGTGTGTGTGTGTGTGTGTGTGTGTGTATGAGGGGAAAGCTGTGTGCATGTAAGTGTGTGTGTGCACGCACGTGCACATGTGCGCTGCTCTGCTCGGCTCTCAGTTTTCTGTCAAGCCTCCTAGGCCCACTGAGACAGGTCTCTGTGACCCTGGAAAAGGGACACAAGTCCTTCAAATGTCCCCACTACAGACCTGCTCCAGAGCAACCTCTCATGATGTTTAAGGCTTTGTTTTCCCACCAAATACTCAGATCACTTTTCACCAACTGTTTCTTTTATCACCCACACTGCACAGTTGCTTTTCTTTTGGCCACTTGGACAAATTCACTCTCCTTCCTCTTCACAGACCATAAGTCCTTTTAAGACTCTATGACCTTGCTCAGTGAGACTCTATTGATGTATCTGAAACAATATCCCTTAAAGGCAATCTGGGACTGGTGTCATCGAGTCCTACTATCTTTTCTTTAAATATAAAAGTAAATTTAAAAATCATTTAGTCTTTATAGGAATAAGAAAGTGTACATGTTATGGACTGAAGGGTTGCGTCCTCCCCAAAACCACATGTTGAAGCCCTGACCCCCATGTGATGTGATTTGGAGGTGGGGCCTTTAGGAGGGATGAAGGTTAAAATTAGGCGGTGAGGGTGGGACCCACCTGATGGGATTAATGCCCTCACAGAAAGAGACCAGAGAACTGCTTGCTGCTCTTCTCTACCATGTAAGGATACAGTGAGAAGATGGTTAAGCCAGCAAGAGGGAGAACCTCAACTGAATCTGCTGGCCCCTTAATCTTGGTCTCCCAGACTCTACCACTGTGAGAAATAAATGTCTGTTGTTCAGCTACTCAGTCTGTGATATTTAGTTATAGCGGCCTAAGCTAAGAAATACAAGAAGAAAAAATAAAAATACAGACTGGCACAGGTCTCAGTGTTTTAAAAGGTCTGCATGCTCTGAGGAGCAAAGGAGGGAAACAGAACGCTGTAGCTCTCTATCTCGGCTTCTGAAACCCGGAGACGATTCAGAAGGGGATCAAGGCCCCAACTTGGCAACCATCTGAGCTGCAGCACTGGCTGGATGAGCGTCAGCCGCAGCAGGTCAGCCTGCCAGGCTCTCTACAGCTCCAGCCAGTCTGTCCCAGCTGAGTCAGAAGGGCCACTGCCCAGCAGCGGGACCCAGGTGCAGTAAAACCGGAAGCATACATTTCCGCTGTTAGCAGTCAGCATGGGAAGGCTTCCTGATAGGGGGCTTCCCTGGTGGTTCAGACGGTAAACAGTCTGCCTGCAGTGTGGGAGGTCTGGGTTCAATCCCTGGGCTGGAAGGATCCCCTGGAGAGGGCAATGGCTACCCACTCCAGTATTCTTGCCTGGAGAATTCCATGGATAGAGGAGTCTGGCGGGCCATAGCCTGTGGGGTCACAGAGAGTCAGACATGACTGAGCAACTAACACTTTTTCACTTTCTCAGGCTCATTTATGTTCACCTTGGAAATCTGGGCTTACTGATACATCTATGGCCCAAGCCTGCTGAGAAGCTGGCGCTCACTCAAGGCAAACCCAGGAACACGTTCATGCCCAAACATTTCCCATTCCTGTGTCACCTCTGCAGACAGCAGAGTTGGGGGAGAAAATACACTGGGACAAACAACTTGAGCAAACAGTTTCTCTATTCATTGCAGAGCCACAACACGCTGACTGGACTTGAGAAGCAATTAAGCCATGGAGGAAAGGAAGGTTTCCTCAGCTGCTACTTGTGTTGAAGGTATAAGTTACAGATCATCAAATTCACCCTTGCAAATGTACAGTCTGATAAGTTTAATCATCATTTATGTATTAAACTGTAAATGTACAGTTTAATATGGTTATGCAACCTTTACGACAGTCTCGTCCACTATTTTTGATTCATGTGAAATAAAGTGGAAAGAAAGTCACTGTCTTCTGACTTTGACAGTGAAGTAGTGAGCAGAAGTACTATATCACCCGTAGCCTTGTCTCATTTGTACTAGGACCTCGCTTTGGCACACACGTACTGTGGTGCCTGGTACAAAGTGTGGGCTCAGTAACTGTTTGCTGAATGAATGAACTGGCATCTACAGTTGTTAAAAAGTGTAAAAGTAACAGCATGTTCACTGTCACGGCATGTTCACTGTTTTGAAGGGAGGAAAGGGGAAGAAAAATGTGAGTGACAACAGGCAGGACCTGATGGACGAAGCCCCTGGGGAGGGCGGAGGGAGGAGAAAATGTGAGATGGGGGCAGTCAAGCAACCTCTACATCTTTACAGTCTCTGCTCAAAGTTCAGTTCCATCCAGCAGCTTGAGCAGCACCTGGAAGCTTGTTAGAAATGCAGAGTCCTAGGCCCACCCCAGAGCTGCTGAATCAGAGTCTTCATTTTAACAAGATTCCCAGTTCATCTGTTTGCACAGCAAATGTTTGAAAAGCACCGACAGATGTTCTTGAGGCTTTCCCAGAACAGGGGGGCAGCCCACCCAGCACAGGGGAAGGACTACAGCTTGGTTTCCCATAGGAATCACTGGAAGGGTTGGAGAACATTTTAAATGGTGGATTTGATTTTGGAAAGCAACCATTTTTGCAGGCCATCTGGGGAGAAAGATAACCTCACCATCAAAATACATGACTTTACTAGAGGATCATCCCTAAAAAAATTCATCTCCTTTTGTGTATCTGGCCTGGGACTGGTTTGACTCAGCTCTGGTTCTCTTTGTAGTCACTTGTCCTCGGGCTGGAAGCTAATTAGCAATGCTTGTTCAGTAGATTTATAAGGACGTTTTAACTAAGAAACAGAAAATCGCTTCTCTTAGCAAGCTTCCTTTTACATTCATGTTCTATTCAGAGAATAGCGACACCACTGTCTTCCCAGGCTCTCCTCCCGATGCTGGCGTGCCCACAGAAAACACTGCCCTTGCCAACTCAGAGGCGCCCAGGAGCATCAAGGACACCCCTGCCTCTGCGTCTTGCGCTCCTGTCGGTCACTTTACCGGTAATGGCTCCATCTTCCCGTTGCCCTCTTCCTACCACCTACATACTCAAGACATGGTGTCAGTAATGTTATCCCATAAAGCCTTCCCCAGTCACTCCAGCCTGCAGCCGACTCTTCCCTTCTGAACTCCGTAACCCTGTATTTCTTGCACTCTCCACAGCTCTTAGCACAAGCTGCATAGCTTTGTTGTTTAGCCAAATAAAAGTCCTCTTGTCAGGAGCTGAGGAATACCCAGCTCCCGCATTCCCACAACCACTATCATACCTGGGTCCCGGTGTGTGTGCTCATTAAACGTTTCACAGGTCCTTGGAGAGGTCCAGAGAGGCCCAGGTCACTGTCACCTTCAGCAGCCTTTCACCATAACTCATTTTTAAAATATAGATTGACTATTTTTATTTATTTACTTTTTTGGCTATACTGCATGGCTTGTGGGATTTTAATTCCCTGCCCAAGGACTGAACCTGCATCCTCAGCAATGAAAATACAGAACCTTAACCACTGGTTTGCTGAGGAATATCCCCATAGCTCATTTTATTTATTTATTTATTTTTTAATATTTTTTCCCCCATAGCTCATTTTAAATGAAAATATGTGGGAAATAAATTGATCTTTAAAAATCCCCCCAATATTCTTCTAGGCTTTTGTTTTATGAAAATGCAGTATTTACTGAAGAATATCTAACTTTGGCATAATGTCAAAATTGCTATGAAATACAGGAAGCAACTCAAATGTAAAACAATAAATATAATTTCTGTATGTGTATGTATGTGTGCATATATGGATGCGTGCACACACATATACACAGCCACACACACACACACACACCCTTATTACTAAGCAGTTGTGATTCACTGTAGGACAAAGAATGTCTCCTTTATACACAGCAAATTTATGTTCGTCTTACTAAAGCCTGTGAAGGAGGGAAACCTCACCTGACGGTAGCATTCTGGTGAGTTTTCACTGAATTCAGCAAGTTTAAACTTTTAGCCTCTTTTATCCTCATGTGCCAAACAAAGATATTCCTATACTTTATATGCTGCTCTATGGTTCTGGATGAAAAGAAGTATTAGTCCATGTATTTCTGATATCTTTCTCTCTTATAGGTGAGGAGCCATCACATCCTTCGTAATCATTCTTCCTAGGGCCACAGGAGTCCCACACACTGGTCTGCACTGCAGCAGCTTGCAAGACTTTGCCCCAAGACTCACTTCCAATCTAGGCTCAACAGGCTTCTCTGGCAGCCAGCTCCACTGCAGAATTCAAGAGTGGAGATGAGGCTTGTCTGCCAGTGGGAACTGCCATCGCAATGACAGCTTTGTAAGCTTCCAGTTACAGAATCTTGACTCTCTCTCTCACTTTGAGGCAGTGTCTTACATTTCTAAAAATTAGTTATTGTATGATGGGAAATTACAAAGACTGCCAATGCCAGGAAACTCTCAGGCTCTAATGCATTGTGGAATATCAGCAAACAGAAGGAAGTGTGGGCTCTTTGGATTCAGAAGACCTGGTGTGAACTCAACTCTGCTACTAACTGGCTGTGTGACCTTAAGTCAATCATCTCCCATCTCTGACCCTCCATTTCCTCTTTTGTAAAATGAAGACTTACTTTATTTACAGTGTGACTGTGGGGCACATGAGAGATGATAAACATGAAAACACCATTCAGTTTGTTAGTTACTAGTGCAAGTAGTGTTGCTCTGCAGAGGCCTCTCAAACTTAAGCATGCATCCAAATCACCCCGAGCACTGTTAAAATACAGGTGACTGGGCCCCATCTCTGGAGATTCTTACTCAGTGTGTCTGACTGGTATCTGAGAATCTGCCTCACTAGCAAATTTCTCAGGGGATGCAGAAGCTGCTGGCCTGGGAACCACACTTCAAGAAGCAATGCTCTACTGAACTCCCAGTCATTTCCCCTCTTACCGCATTATGAATTCCTTAAAGCATAATCTCAACTTGTTGTGATGCCGATAAAGTTTTGGGTCAGCTGGAATTTCAGCCAAAAATACTTGGGCTACTTCCAGTGGTCCCTGATAGAAAAAAGTGAAAAACATTACTGATGTTGGAAAGAAAGTGACATTACTTGGGAGAAAATGTTGGAGCAACTTCTTAGTTTGAACATTTGATCCTGTAGTTAGTTAAACTGAAACAAAAAAATCAAGGAAGGTCTTTAACTCAGGAAAATGTTGATTCCCTAGGAAGAGTCTACAGTTTTAGGAGAACATTCAAAAGCATAAATGTATTTACTTAATCAAATGCTACTAATAATAGATTTTCCTTCATATATAAAGGCAATATACTACATCAAATGGTATATGATTAGAGTTGCTTTCCTGAAAATAGGGATTGTCTTGATCCATCCATTCATATTCATTTGTCTAGTTGCCCTAGTGGCAAGCACCATTTTGTGTAATTGCTGGTTTGAGTCAGAGATATGCACAGTATATGTGTAATCCACATGGCTGTGGGCTTATAAAGTCTTCCATTTTCATTAAAAGATTGGGACTTAGAAAAAGCAAAAGCTTCTTAATATTTCCTGATCTTGGAAATGTAATGAATACCATTTCTGTCGCCTTGATATTCTCTGGGCACAGACTTCTTGCAGGGGAGTTCAGCTGTGCAGAGTGAGGGAAGGGTCATGACACTCATTGAGTTTTGAGTGTGAAGGTATATAGATTTAGTTCTGAGATTAAAGCAGCACACTGGACAGAGAGAACTGTTAGAACGCCCTCCATCTGAGGCTGGATCAGTCTCATGGTGAGACTGGAGTTAGAATTCTAATGAATCTGAGAAGATTCAGTCCGTTCTGAAGTGGCCCAAAAAGTGGGGTTCCAGGTCACTCCTGCTTTGCAGTGCTCCTGACATACTGGTTTCATTTGACTGACGTAGGAGGTGGATGTTCTAGACCCTTTCCCTTCTCTCCTAGGGCATTCTTAAGATTCATCTCAGGCCCTGCAACAACTCTGCCTAAAGTGGGGATGACTAAGCACTCTACCCGGATCATATGCCAGAACTGGCCCCAACTCAAGACTTCTCCAAGGAAATAGTACTCCTGAGACATGGTCCACTCAGCTCTAGGATTTCTAAGAGACCTCAGGTGTTCAGTCTAAGTTTAAGAACACCACTGGCATGTTGATCAGACTTCTCATTGACTTCAAGGAAGGAGGGTGCAGACATACAATGAAAATAAAAATAACGAGAACCAGAGGAGCCGCCCCCAGCTAGTTTTGCTTACCTGATTGACAGTAGCTCCGACAGAGCCTTGCAGCACCATCTGAAGCATCTTGGCATCAGGAGGCTCCTGGTTAACGGCAACTGCTAACTGCAGAGTCTTCTTCTTCATGTCTTCAATGGCAACTTCAATTGGTGTCAAAACAAACTGAACGTGAGACATAAATGCAGGGAAGGTCATTGTCAGGTCTTATAAGCCATGAGCAAGCATGGAGCTACGGCAAAGAGGACACGGGTTTGAAGCAGCAGTGAAGGCTTTCAGAGCAATTTAGAATAATCTTGACAGGTTAAGAGGAAGGAAGAGTCTAACGTTTCTTGAGTACTTATTATGTACCAGAAGCTTTACATACATTTATCATTTACCTCTTTAAACAAACTCCTATTCTCTCCACTTTACAATCAAAGAAGGATTTGTAAGGTGAAGTAAGTGCCACAAAATGACACCAGTCATAAGTGGGGAGGTCTGATTTTGACCACAATAATATCCACATTCAAAATCCATGTTTCTTATACACTGTTAGGTTTCCTTTCCTATTGTTGAATAAGTTACTTGACTTAAAATTGGGAAAGCACAGTAATCAAGACTTTCTTCTCCACCATAACACAAGATTTTGGCATCATGTGTGCTTTCTCTAAATCTCTAAATTCTTGATAAACAGAATTCTCTTCAGCGTCAATCTGCTACTTGTTAAGTTCTGTTGGTTTGGAGTGTGGTCTAAACGTTATTGGTGGAGTCATGTCCCCTCCAAATTTCGTTATTGGTGGAGTCATGTCCCCTCCAAATTCAGGTGTTCAAGTTCTAGACTCCAGGACTTCAGAATGTGGCTCTAACTAAGATACAATCATTACAGGGGTAATCAAGAAGTCATTTCAAAGAAGTCATTAGGATGGGCCTAATCCAACATGGTTATATGTCCATCTAAGAAGAAGAAACCTGGACACAGGATATGTATAGAGGGAAGGTGATGTAAGAAACACAGGGAGAAGGCAGCCATCTGCAAGCTAAGGAAAGAGGTCTGCAACAGAACCTTCCCTCATGTCTTTCAGAAGGAACCAACTCTGCCAGTACCTTGATTTTTGACTGCTGGTCGCCGGAACTATTAGACAATTAATTTTGGTTTCTAAGCCACCCAGTCTGTGGTAATTTGTTATATTAGCCTTAACAAACTAACATACTGACATTCTTGGAGGAACTACAAATGGCCAAGAAAAATTGTGAGGACTCTTACTGAGACCATGATTTTATTTCTGTGTTGTACCAACTTGTCCTAGTGCTCAGAAGCCTAAAAGAGTAAGAAATACAAAAAAAAAAAANAAAAAAAAAAAAAAAAAGAAAAGAAAAGAAAGAAAGAAATACAGCAGATGCCTCCTAAGTGAATCTTCTCTTAGCCGAGTCATCAATTTGGGCTTTCTTTGCCCTCTGTGAAACCCATACTGTGATGTGGTTGCTGAACACACGAGTTGGTGAGCAGCTCTCCAGGAAACTCAGTCCCTGTGCTCCTGCACAAGGAGGTGTGTTATTCACCACAATTCATTTGTGTTTGTTCACCAACTTGCTTATGCCTGTTATACTTGTTATTTTAATGACCTAATCTAATTCAGTAATGCATAAACTGGTGAATTATGGGTGTGGAAAGAAGAAGAGTTGTTTCTATGAAAACCAAGCTAATGCTTGGGCAAGATGTTGTGAAACTGAGTTGCTATAAAGATTCCTGTCTTATTAGGTATGCTCAAGACAACGGTCAAAAGCTAGGGGCAAAAAAAAAAAAAATTAATAATAATAATCATAAAAATCTAGAAGCATTCTGCTCTCATGTTGTTTTACAAGGTTCTTTAAGCTCTCACTCTGCTTTACAGAAACCAAAACTGAACACATGGATATTGCATCATGGGTGAGGTTTATACAAGAAATACAATGCTGAATTGTGATCAGCCAACCCTAAATCACAGGCAAGGCAGTGACTCTACACAAAATGAATGACAAATTAATGCACATATATGTCTTTTAAACTAAAAGAAAATACTTATGTCTAATTTTCAGCAATTCTGTAGCTTCAGACATTTTCTTGATCTATGAATTTGAGGTCTTTTGCTACACGTGGAACCAGAAGAGAGAAAGAGGTCTTTCCTGTATCAACGTTTAGATAGGGGAACTGATGAAGATAAGTGCCTTGTGTCACAGGAGGATGCTGGGACTAGAAGACAACTGGTCTCCTCTCTAATTGGCATGGTGCCCTCCTATAGCTCAACATCACCTCCTTGGGGCTACTCACTTGCTGTTCCTGTCTCTGATAATTAACAACAGAATGCTGTTGAAATCACCTGAAGCTTTCAAATATGTGAAAATTTAAATAAAATCTTTAAAATTTTATATTTCATGTAAATTTAACATTAAAATATAAATACAAAGTAAATGTTACAATCATGTACATACATTTCTATTAAAGATATAACTTTAAAGTAGAATATACTTAAATATCAAGTGTGCTATAAAGCATGCAGTTGCCTAGATGGGATTCCCTGGCACCATGGCAATGAGAGGATGACCACCTTAATAATAATTCAAAGGCATCCCTTTTTAGATTTTTATGTGAGTCTGCCATGAAGGAGCATGAGGGCGGCCCGTGTATCATCCTGGGAGGAGACCCAGGCGCACTGGCTCAGCCACGGCCACGGTCCAAGCCCGTCCCCCAGTGCCTTCACCTCCTCCTTCTGGGCGACGCTGACCCTGGTCTTGATGTAGGGGAAGGCGTGCATGGTGGTCAGGACGGTGTTCCGCCGGTACTGCTCATGTAGCTCGCCCCGAGGCCGGCCCTCCAGGGTGAAGGGGGTGGTGTACATGAACCTCCGCAGGTTGAAGTTCTTCTCAAAGTAGGTTAGCCTGTCTTTCATCTCATACTCATCAAAGTAGGGCTCCACGAAAGTGATCTGTATGTAGGCCTGAGTGGGGAAAGGAAAGGGATGATGAGCTGGTCGGCAAACTACCACCCAGGGCTCACTGCGGGGCACGGGGGGGCGGGGTCCTCAGGACAGAGAGTGGCAGTACGCCCTTCTGTGCTCGCAAAGCTGAGAGAACTGGGGGAGACATCAGCTGTTAGCCATCCTTCCTCTCCACCCCCGAGGAGATGAGAGACAGGACTGTGGAGAAGGTCCACAAGCTGCCCCTCCTAGCAGAGCTCATGACCCGACTGAAACTTGGTGCGAGAATTTGCAAACTGCTATTCAGAAGAAGCAAAACTTTGCTTTTCAGAACAACCATGCTTATCAGAATGGCCAAACTAAAGAAAACTGACAATACCAGGGGCTGACAAGGATAGGGAGCTGCTGGAGCTTTCATACACTGATGGTGGGAATGTACAATGGTACAGCCACCTTACGAAACAGATTGGCCGTTTTTATACTTTGAATTATATTGATCATACGACCCAGCAACCCTACTTTGGTGTGTGTGCCAACAGAAATGAAAACTTGTGTTTATATTAAACCCTGGACTCAAATGTCTATAGCAGCACTATACATAATAGACAAAAAATAGGAATAACCCAAGTATCCCTCAAGTGAGGAATGGATAGACAAACTCTGGTACATCCATACAACAGAATACTACTCAGTAGTAAAATGGAATGAACCATTACAAAATGGGTAAATCACAAATACATTGTGCTAAGTGAAAGAAGTCAGACTCAAAAGGCTGTATGAGTCCATTTATTTACTGTATGATTCTATTTATATGGCATTCTGAAAAAAACAAAACTATAAAGACAGAATATAGATTAATGACTTTCAGGGGCTAAAAACAGAGGGAGGGGATGACCACAGAGAGGCATGGGGAAATAAATATTTTGGGGTGATGGAACTTATCTCTTGATTTAAAATTTATAGAGATACACACAAAAAAGGGAGTTTTATAATATATATTTAATTTAAAAATGTATGTACATACACATGCACCCATATCAACACACTATGAAGAAGAGCACTTATTAAGAAAGAAGGCCTTAAAAAAAAAAAGAAGAATGATAATGACCACAGACTCTGCAACACTCATCCACTGAAATGGACAGATAAGGTCACTGACTATTAATAAGTACATATAAATCACTATTTAGTGTGGTGAAATCTGGTTATAATCCCAGGTATAGATTCTCATTTAAAAGTCTCACAACTTACTTTGGGCATTTTAATAGAGGGGAAAACAGCATTCTACGTCAGATATGTCACCAATAACTCTAGATGGCACGTGCTGTGCACAGCTCACCATGGGTAAACAGCCAGTCTTGTCTTTCAAAGACCTCAAACATTTCTGTGTGAAGCACTTATGCTCACCACAGTTATTGCTTCAAGCCTAGATTAGGGAATGTATCTGAAGTAAGTCCTTTGAAATATGTAGAAAAACAAACTCTGATATTTGGACACCTTCTTCCTACTGGCATCATCTTCATAATACCATGGAAGGCAGAACTGAGAGAAGAGTTCGGATTCTTCACTTTATAGGCCTGCCGGATGGCAAGTGCTCCTCTGTCCCTCAGGCCTTAAAAATACCTTGAACTTGCATTATGTCCAACAGCTTAGAAGTCTCTCTCAGGTACATATCTGGGCTGAGCAGGCAGTTATCACCCCATGGTATAATAAAGAATGTATCTAGTCTTTGTCCTTCCTTCCGAGCACAGAGCTTCAAAACCTCTTGGGATTCCCTCAGTGACAGTCACTGTTATTCCTCATGAAGTAACTCATGGTGGGTCCCTAGATAGCTTCAGGATTATGGCTGGTCATCAGCAAGAACAATCTTCAGATTAGACAACTGGGACTCTGGGCCAGCCTAACTGCTGGGGTAGGAGCAGGTTGGCGACTGAGTTCAATAATGTAGTTGATGATTTAATCAAACATGCCTATGTAATGGGATCTCAATAAAAACCCTGGACAACAAGGCTCAGTGGAGCTTCCAGGTCGGTGAACACATTGATATGCCAGGAGGGCGCCAGGCCTGAATTCCACAAGGAGAAGGCATAGAAGCTCTGGGATAGAACTAGCCCTTTGTGCAACCTTTATCACAAAACTATAAGCATCAGTGTAGCCCTTTTCTGAGTTCTGCAAGTCATTTTAGTGGATTATCTACTGAAAAGTGCCAAGGGAACCCACACATTTGTATTTGTCTGGTCAGAAATGCAGGCTGCTTGGGGTCCCACTTGAGGTTGGCACCTAAAGTGAGGGCAAGCTCCTGCAGGACTGAGCTTTAGCTGGTGGAGTCTGACACTAACTCTGCATGCTGAGCATCAGAATTGTACCAGCTGTGTAGGAAAGTTATGACCAATCTAGACAGCATATTAAAAAGCAGAGACATTACTCTGCCAACAAAGGTCCGTCTAGTCAAGACTATGGTTTTTCCAGTGATCATGTATGGATGTGAGAGTTGGACTGTGAAGAAAGCTGAGCACCGAAGAATTGATGCTTTTGAACTGTGGTGTCGGAGAAGACTCTTGAGAGTCCCTTGGACTGCAAGGAGATCCAACCAGTCCATCCTAAAGGAGATCAGTTCTGGGTGTTCATTGGAAGGACTGATGCTGAAGCTGAAACTCCAATACTTTGGCCACCTCATGCAAAGAGTTGGCTCATTGGAAAAGACCCTGATGCTGGGAGGGACTGATAGAGAAGGGGGCGACAGAGGATGAGATGGCTGGATGGCATCACCCGACTCGATGGACATAAGTTTGAGTAAGCTCCGGGAGTTGGTGATGGACAGGGAGGACTGGCATGCTGCAATTCATGGGGTCGCAGAGAGTCAGACATGACTGAGCGACTGAACTGAAATGCACTGAACTGAACACCCACCTGGGGGTGAGACAGAATATACCCTCATATGTAAAGTGAGGAAACTGAAGTCCAAGCCCTTTTCATCATTCCTCCAACAGCACAGTGATCATGTATGTATGTGGCTGAAAAGAATGCCTCAACCAAATGCTGTCAGTGAGAAGTCTGTATATTTTCAACATACTTTAAATTGAGGATTCGAAGTTTTAATAGAAGGGTAGTAAAGAAGTGATTAGAAGTGCAGGATTGAGGATCACAGACCCCAAATCTGAATACTGGCTTTGACACTTGCATGATCTTGGAAGTTGCTTACCTACTCTAGATCTTACTTTTCTCATCTATAAAATGGGAATAACAATGTTTACATCAAGGAACTGTAGGAGGATGAAATGCAATGGTGTATGTAAAGGGTTTTATACAATGTCAGGCATACAGCTGGTCTTTCATAAATGGTGGCTCCTATTATGATCCCTGCCATCGAGTATGGTTTAAGACTTAACCGTTAAACCGTAAACAACAACAAAAAAATTGGTTGCATTGAAGTGACGTGGAGTTCAGACAGAGGAGGTCATCTTATGTTTAGGGGGAAGAACAAAGGGAATCAGAGCCTAATGGCTATTTTTTGCAATATTCCCATACCTTGTTAGGGTCCAACTTGGTTTTGTCCACAGGAGCAGAGTCTTTTATCACTTCCACAAATTCTGCACCAAAACATTGACTATAAAATGCCTAGGCAAGAGAAACCAACAGATTATAAAGGTTATTTTAATATGCTGCAACGCTTTGTCTCTAGAAGCGGAATAAGTTTGGAACAAGTGTATGGTAGAATGTGCTCTCTGAATTATTTAATGTCCTTCCGAGCTAATGAGGCAAGTTCAGCATTTCCTGAGACAAAAATAAAAATAAAATGAAGTCCAGCATTTGCAAACTGATCTATACGTCCATATAAAATGTATGCTTGACATCTAATTCAACAGCATCATATATTTCCAGAAGATGCTCCAGGGCATAGAACTATTTACTTTTCGCCTTTTGTACCCTAGGAACTTGGAGGTCACGAGGCTTCCCATAGTGTGACAAACCACAGCGCACAGGAAGATAAAATATATGCTTCTAGTTCTAAATTGGGAAAACATTAGGAAACCAAGTGGCCTGGGGTCAATTGCTAGTTCCTCTCATGAGCTGAAAAACTTTGCGCAAGTCACCCATTCACTTTGAACCATGGCTTTGTTGGGTCAAGTAAGGATTAAAGTTTCTTGTCTCATCTGGCATGGATGGATAGTATCGATATAAGGAACAATTTGACAACAAAAGTGTTTTAAGTCCGACAGTCATGAAAGGACATAAATTCAAAGCAACAGCAAGAAAGCAAAAAGTGAATTTCCAGTTAATTGTCATCAGCATTTCAGGGGACCCACTTATTCAGCTTGAGATGATTTTGCTTAGGGGGCACCCCATGACTTTCCTCCTGAGTTCTTAATGCCTGGCCCTTCCCATGTCTGTTTCTTTCTTTCTCACTTTTCTCTAGGTTGTTTCTCCCTTTCTCCAGCTTTTCCTCCAAGAACATGCTGCTCTCTTCTGCTACATTCTGGATCAAATGTAAACAGCAGGTTGGATTGCGGCTGCCAGAACATGGGATTGGGTGCTGACTCTAGATTATCCAGAGAGGGGTGCTCCTTGGATCAAGAGGAAGAGTTTACTGTGCCCAGGACACAGTAGGCCTACAGTCGAGCATCTCCAAGTCATAAGCTGGAAGAGTTGTCTGGTAACACCAAAAAGATGACCACAGAATTTTCTAGGGGAAATTTGATAATTTCGCCAGATGACTTTAAAGTCAAGATGATAAACTCCAAGCTGAAAAACTATTACTGAAATTTGGAAAGGTTTACAAGAAAGCACATGACATTGATTTGGATATTCTTGGAAAAATATTCACCATATAAATTTGCGAACTTTGTGTTTTTTTTTTTAAATTTACGAACTTTGAAGAGTACGGGGTTTCCTAGGTGGCACTAGTGGTAAAGAACCTGCCTCCCAATGCAAGAGACATAAGAGACTCGAGTTTGATCCCTGGGTTAGGAAGATCCGTTGAAGGAGGCTATACACTCCAGTATTCTTGCCTGGAGAATCCCACGGACAGAGGAGCCTGGTGGGCTACAGTCCAAGGGGTCGCGAAGAGTCAGACGTGACTGAAGAGTTAGCATGCACACAGGCATCCTTCCCTTGCTTTATCGCATGATTTCACCTAATATCTTGCTTTTGTACAGGCAATGTAGAAACTTTATATGGATCAATGATGAATGTATGACTCTTAGTTTTGTTGTAATGGCCTACTACAACTTGCTTTTTGTCAAGTATACAATGTTAATCGCCCAGAATCACTTGTCTTACCTCTAGTCTGTGAGAGATCTCAGGAAGCTTGGTAATTGCAGGCTCTTTGTAAACGAATTCCTTCTCATCCAAATCCCCAAATTTGGATCCATAGAAACCAACTCGGAAGTAGGTTCCAAACATCCTCTTATGACCCTGATGGACAAAATAAGAAAACCTCTCAGTTTTGTAATTCATGAGGATCCATTGGGTTGCAAAGGGCAGGAGTCTTTTATTGTTGGGTTACAAGACATTTTATTCCTATGGCAAATACTAACAATTCACACCTTTAAAAAAACTAAAGTTTATAGAACTAACTTGGGAAATAATAGCAAAAAAAAAAAAAAAAAAAAACCCATGAAAGAGTTCTAGGATTTCTTTAAGTGAATTTAAGAGATTTTCACATTCCTGGTTGCAAAGTAATTCAACTACCTTCTTTCAAAGTTTGAATTACAGTCCTCTATTTCCAGCCCTTTTCCATTTGATAGGAGAGAGCTACAGTACTGATGTCCATAAGGTCAATCACTCCCTAGAGAGGAAGGAGGGCTAAGCATCTCTGAGACAGAGTCACCTGCTATCAGATTATAGGACTTGTTAGTCAGGATCCTCAGCTACCTTGCTAATGATGCTGTCGAAGGCCTTCTGCAGCTTTTCATGGGTGGAGGTCAGCTTCCGGAAGTCTCGATGAGCCTCCAGGATGGGGATGACCAGCTTGTAGACCTCATTAACCGTCTCGTACAGTCCTCCCTTGGAAAGAGGAGGAAAAAAATCAAAGAGAATTAATCCACTGGGCACTAAGGAATGGATTTATTATTGGCACCACAATATCTTACAGTGCAAGAAGAAACTCTGAGTGTCTTTGGGATGGTTGTAGCATTCAAACTGAACTAGACACATGCTAAATGGTCCTATCTGATAATGTTAAGTTGGAAAAAGGGGTTTCCTGGGGAAAAAATAGGACAGGAGACTGGCAGCAGGGACTAAGAATAATTCAGGAAGGCAATCTTGGGCATCATATAGCCAGATGGGTGTCCTCATATAGCCAGATGTTCACTGAATGCCTGAAAAGACTTAGGAGTCTAACTAGATGGTTTTTTTGAATTTCAGGAAAAACAAAGTATCCTGGATGTTATCTGGATTCTGAAAGGGAAAGCTGGAAAAACAGAACATAATTAAAACAAAAATTAAAATACATAGGTTGTAGGGTGGAAACTTGGAAATGAAAAGTAGAGAAGAATGAAAAATATTAGGATGAAAACAAACTGGATCAGCTAAATTGAGTGAAGTAATAAATATTTATTTGGCTTAAAATTTGAGGGAGTAGGGAAATTGTGAAAATGAACAACAGACTTTCTTTCCGGACCTGAAACTCAGTAACTTAATCTATACATTTTTTTCCTTTAATTTGGAGTATTTAGACCCAGACTGGGCTTCCCAGGTAGCTCAGTGGTGAAGAATAATCTGCAATGTAGGAGACACAGATTCAATCCCTGGGTCAGGAAGATCCCTTGGAAGAGGAAATGGCAATCCACTCCAATATTCTTGCCTGGGAAATCCCATGGACAACAGAGCCTGGAAGGCTACAATCCATGGGGTCTCAAAAGAGTTGGACATGACTGAACAACAACAACAGACCCAGATTAGGTTAGTGAGGGGAGTGTCTGTGGTTTCTACTCCTATATTTCTCTGAGCTGTCCGTGGCCTGTGACAATCCTGAGGATTACTCAGCAGTCAGGAAAGCTCTATTTTTTTTCTCTTTTCCCAGAGGCTCCACCCCAGGAGCTCTCTCAAGGAGAGTAAATGAGAGAATGAGAACATGCCTTGTGATTTATTGTGTAAGCCTGGGCAAGCCATTTCACCTTGCTGTGGTTTAGTTTCCACCTCTATTAAATGGAAATAATACTGTGAAACTGCTGCCCAGCTAATGAGCATGTAGTGAAAGCCAGAACATTGCAGTGATGAAAGGCTTTCTCACCTCCCTGAGAGCTGAGCCAATTTACGTACATCAAAGTCCTCCGGCCCCTCCCCGGCCCTGTGCATTTCTGCACATGGTGTCGTCATGGAGAGGAGCTCACTGGCTGGGCGCTAAAACCCACATGCAGGGCACTAGCACAGAAGCTCACGCTGACAGGGGCGGCCCAGGGCGTGGGGTGTACTGACCGTGCTGAAGAGCTCGGCCGCCTGCTCCAGTAGGCCCACCAGGCCGCTCTCCGTGAAGTACCGGCCGGAGCACACCCCATCCTCATCAGGCGACAGGGTGTCATCAGAGACGGCAGACTCCTCCAGCACGTTGGAAGAAATATTCTGCAAGAGAACTCAGTATGAGCCCGGAGAGCTGGGGAACCCAACTAACAAGGCACCACAGGAGTCCACAGTAGGGATGAGGAGGCCGTCACTCCAACAGCCTCACCCTGTGTGACTGTAAAAGGTCTGCAATTCCATCTAGAACAGCCTCTGGCTGCCACTCATTTTGAAAGAACACATAGAACCACTGGCCTTCAAAACTCAAGATGTTCTTCTCTTTTTAACCATTGGCAGATACAGAAAGGACACTTACCTCAGCATAACAACAGCTGAGCTGCTTTAGAGAAAGGACTCTAAGGGACATTCAGCAGGGATTGTGGTTTTTAAAATTAACTTTTAAGAAAGTTAATTAGACTCCTTGTTTCACCAGCTGAGTGAAACTCTAAAGTACTTGCTACTACTGACTTGGCTTGTAGGTGAACAGTCATGATATCACATGACAATTGCAAATGAGAAGGCTTTCTTTGTGGGAATCTTTATGACAATGCAGCAGTTACTTGTTTTTTTTCCTCTCCCCTCAAACATTTTGTTCCTTTCTATACACTTTTCTTTTACATAAACCATACAGCTGAAAGTCTCTCATAGAGAATGCAGTGATCAGGGCCAGGGCTAGGGTGAGTAAGGTTGAAAACGCCAGGTCACAACATTTAGGGAACACTCACTCTCAGGATTCTGTAAGATATGACCTGGAACTTGCTGGACCCCGAGAGTGAGTGCTTCCTTAAATTTTGCACTTTACATGCCTTGCTCACCTCACCCCAGTTCTGGCTCTGGCAGGGACTCTCATACTTTTGACAGGCCAAGAATCATTTTCTTCAATCTGTCTCATGGCTATAGAAAAAAGGCACACGGAGCATTAAAAAAAACCTGGAAACCTTTGTAGCTTAGGACTGGCAAAGAGATAGCACACATGCTATTTCTTCATATGTCTAGACTCATAGCAGACAGAATTAATTAATTATAGTACTCTTTTTCCTGAAGCTTTTTTCAAAATTCCTCTCAGTATGGTACTCCAATCAGCCACTATCAATTGACCAGGGCTGGCTACTGAAGTAAAATCTGTCTGCCTCTTGTTGGCCTGGCTAGCATGATCGAGTGACTCATCCTGAGCATCAAGGAAGAGAGAGTTGTTCCAGTCCTGTATCTTCATATTCAACAGTATAAGGTAGTTTGGGGAATACAGGAGAGACTCTCAGAACCTTTTGTGACCAGTCTTTCTTTCAAACCTGGTATTTCTACTATGATGTTTCTGAACTAGAAATAACAGAAGGTCCAAGAGCTTTCGTTGAATAAAATCTAATGACCCAAGAAACGAATACTATTAGTATTGTATGCAGTTGTCCATATGTAGAGGAATATATTTGCAGTTATGCAGTCTTATTAGCTGTAGTCAAAAGGAAAAGATTCTGGGCAGATTTTTCTGGCTTCAGAATCAGGGAGGTAAAAACATCAGTATCTAAGAATGCAGACATATCTACATTTGTGGAATAAATACTACACTCTGGGGCACAGAATTTCAACGATCTCAGCTCCTTGGAATTCAGTGGCCTCAGGGTTATTTTCCTTGCACAGATTTATTTATCTCCAGTTTATAATTCCTTTCCAAAAATTCAATTTTACTGGAGCAGAACAAGTTTGAAAACTAAAGCACACAGCATTTAAGAAATCAACATTGGACATCTGTTGTTAATGCTGCCCAAAATTCCTTCATCCTTCTATAAAGTAAAGCCTCCAGGGAAACCGTCCATAACTCCAGGTGTGGACCTCAACTCTGGTCCAGCCAGTCATAGCATTCCATGTCTCTGGCCACTATGATTGGCTCAGAGATGAGCGTATGACTCGGTCAGAACTAACAGATGCACTGAGACTGTCTCTGCAACTTTTGGAAGTAGGGCATTTCTCTATTCTCCTGGACTTGAACTTAGGGAGATGTAAACAAATATTTCTCAGTGAGTGTGGGAAGACAGTGAAGAAAGAAGCTGAGCTGACATAACAGAAAGCAGAGGCTGGAAGTGATGACGATGCTGAGGCCTGATGACATTGTTTGGGCCCCTAAGTCCAGTTTGACAGGTGCTACTCCAGACTCATTTCTCTCATGTAAGCTGATAAATTCCATTTTTACCTTAGGTCAGTCTGGGTTAGGTTTTCTGTCATGTGCAAGCACACATTTCCTAAAAGATTTGCTATGCCTCATTTGAGAGGAAGGAGACTTGGTTCATAAGCATCAACATAATTTGGTTTTTCTTCTCACCATGTTCTGTGTGTTATGAAGACTTCATTCTTCACAGTTCCTTCCGCTCCCCCTTCCCCGTCCTTATCTTTCTGAACACTCCCTGGCCACCGAGCTGGGTCACATGATAAATACTCACAGTTTCTTGTACCTCTTTATTACAGCAGTTATCATAATTGTAATTGAATAAGAAATGGAAGAATTAGCTATATGATGTCACTCTCTGGCTGGAATGTAAAGTTTGTGAGGACAAAATAAGTGCTCAATAAATATCACCTAAAAGAATGAATGAGTGAATAAAGATCTATGAAAAAATAGAGCTATATGCCCCCATGTAGGGATGACATGGAGTTTTTCTGTTGTTTCTAGAATAACTATTCTACTCACCTTGGTATGACTTACTATAAGCAATAGAATCCTAGGTGAAATAAGAATCACAAGGCTTACTAAACATGAAACAATAATTAAATGCCATTAATATTTAAGTGATAAATATAAAATAAAATACAGTAAATGGGGAAAAGGCATTAAAGTTTATAAGCAATAGTTTAGTTAATGAAACAAGACAAAAGGATGATATAATTCCACATTAAGTAGTAAGCCCAAAGATTTCTGGGAACTGAAAGAGCAGTACTTATATTTTTCCTTGCTAATATCAAATGGTCAAAATAAATCTGGCAAAAAACAAATATATCTAAAATTGGTTTCTATACCTTTCTTCACTATTATGTGATTCAAAATCAGATGTGATATTTTTATGCTTTTTGGATAAGAATTAAATTTTTTGCTTTTTATAATGAACCTTTCTGAATTGAGAATAAAATTTATTTGCTGAGAATGAAATGACAAATATTATTGGTATTGAAGGCTATAAGAAAGGAGGAATTAATAATATGAGGCAATACCCAGATTGCCTGGTGAACAGTATTCAGGAAATCAGAAACTCCTGGCTCTACCAACAGCAGTTTTTGTCTTACTTTCTAAGCCTGGGAAAGCTACTTTGAATTATCTCCTCTTTCTGGTTCACACAGCATCACAAAACTGTGTTGAAGAGCCACAATGAGAATAAAGCCTTTTATAAAATCAGTCCTGTGAATTCAAACAGGAGTAATCCAAACACTTGTAAAGTAAACGACTTTGTGAGTCTGCCCTGAAAAGGGCTCTCTTTGTGTACTATATTGTCACAGGTTTCAGGGATGGTCATTTCTACGGATTAGGCCTCTAAAAGTACTCCTAAAATTTTTGCTTCCTCTAAACTGTTTAAAGTACTCAGCAAAAACAGTCCAAGTGACCACTGAGCATTGCAACCTGAACCAACTTTCAGACCTAGCAGACAATTTCCAATTGCTCATTATGGGTAATATTAAGCTTATCCTAAGACAGTATTGATTCAGCCCTTTTTTCCTTCCCAGGTCAGTTTGGTTCTTTCTCAATTTTAGATTAGAGAGGAAGATGCTAAAGAGTTGGGGAGCGTAATCAAAGGAATGGGCCCGGAGGGGAATAATTTCTCCAATATTTGGAAAAAATACTTTCACATTTGTCAGTATACTGTGCCAATTACAAGTCTTTGAGAAAGCGTTTAAACAACCTTAGAAAAGTTGCTCTCTCAATTTAGCTGTGCAGCGGGAGTAATAATATCTTCTCTATTTGTCTGTTTCACTGGTTTACAGTGAAAACCAGTTTCACTGGTTTACAGAGAAGGTCAAATGAAATCATGGATGTGAAAGTGTTTGGGAATGTCAAAATGCCTATCAAATCTATATTTACTGTAAATAATAATTAAAAAAACCCCAAGACAGTAAAGCAATTAGAAAAGGCAAATATAATACACTAAAGCAGGTCTTCTCAACCTTGGCAATATTGATATTTGGGGGCCAGATAATTTTTTTGTGGTGGGAGTTGTCCTATGCATTGTAGGGTGTTTAGCAGCATCCCTGGCTTACACCTATTAAATGCCACTAGTACCTACCCTCCCACCCTCAGAGTAACAACCAAAAATATTTTCAGAGATTGGCAAATGCCCCCAGATGAGAGCCACTGCACCAAAGGAAAAGGCGAACTTGCCCCCACCTGAAAGCTGACGCTGCCCACGGGCAGGTAGCTGTGGTCCTCCAACATGCTCAGATACTCGGCCACCAAAGCAGCCGCGTGGACCAGGCACATGGCGGCCTCCGTGTAGCACTTCCTCTTGGTGTGTTTCTCTGCCATGTTCTGGAGCCAGGTCAGCCGCAGATCAGGAGATGCCTGGTAACTCTTGGCAATTCTGAAGATGGGTTTAGAAAGTTCCAAAGACAACTGGTTAGCGATACTGTTTTTCTGTTGGATATGGACACTTTTTTTCCCTTGAGAGTTTTGCCTACATGTTCAGAAAACAAGAGAAAAGGCAAACATGTATCAGCCCAACTGTTTTTATTTCATGTCTAGGGTGTGTAGGACCTTAAGAATGTTATCATTTAGTTAAAGATTTATGGGGGAAGAAAAGACCTGATAAAATGATGTCTATTTGAATGCAGCACTAGTAATTTTTCTTCCTTTACTCTCTTTAATCTCAAAATAATAACAGAAGATGAAAAGTACTACCCTTCTTATGGCATCATGTCAGAACAATTTTGTCTTTGTAAGTAGTTTCTCCTAAAACAAGGATTATAAAGCAAAAATTTGAACTACAGAGTAAAATATGATTTCTAAATGAAACTTACATGCATGTCTGAATGTAAGTGGAAAAAAATTTCAGATATAATTCATATAAGAGTTGATAGTTCTTTTCTCTGATTCTATGGTAAGTAGAAAATAATGTTAAAAATATATACCTCCCTTTAAATCAGGGAACTCTTTCTGAAAATGTGTACATGAATCAACACCCTCCAAATGATGGTTTTCTACCAATTTCTAAGTACAGTTCTGGCTGTCAGCCAAATCAGTGTACCCACATTTCCTGTGATAATTATATTCATGAAAACTCCATAGTGGCAAACCCTAGATCTTTAAGCAACACACTTTTGATTTCATCAGAAAAGTTCACCTGTACATGAGATCCATAAGCATCTCAGGATCTTCCTGAAATTCCCTCATTTTCACTGTGTCATATAAGATGCTATTCAGATTGCAGAGAAGTTCTTCCACCTGAAAGAAAAAAAAAATGTATACCCCAAACAACCTTAGCATTGTAGTCCATGGTAACAAAAAGTTAGGATTGCACTGAGAGTCCAAGGGGCAGCCATGAGCAGGCCTTGCTAAGACAGGGGAGATCACAGGTGGAGGGAAGTCTAGACTGGATCCTCTTTGACCTTCACCTTTGCAGGTCCAGGCACTGCCAAGGCCTACACATGAGTTGGCCTTTGACATCCATGTATTAGTCCTGAATCCTTATACTATCTTTCCTCTCCAGTACTTTTTTGGTTAAATTAGTTTCAGTTCTTTGTAACATATAAACCCTCAACTGTACTCTGGACATCAGGGCTTTTTATAACAAGTAGGAGGCAGCTTAGGACCTCAGCTTAGGTTCCATATAATGCATATGACAATATTTTACATAATTATCTGTACATTATGACATAATTATATTTCATAAAAGTTATATAATATATAAAATATGTTATATATCTTATACACATACATATATGCACATATATATATACATTTGTACATATATATACATATGTATGTATGTATACACACACATAGAGGTTTAAAACTGGCTGATCCCAGACCCATGTATGAGACAAAGCATGCTCTTCCGTCTACCTGCATGGGAAAAGGAGTGGTCTGCATGGCTGTGTCCTCTTCTGCATAGGCCAGAATTGTCCTCAAGGATCTTCTCAGGTACTCCTCATTAAAGTCTTGTGCTTTTCCCACCAAAGATGCCAGAGACATGGTTACTTGCATCTTTACTCTTGCAAAGTTCTGAGTCAGGGAAAAAATGGTGGAACAAACAAGAGGCAGTCAGCTAGTAGATAACTGGAGGAGGTAGAGCCAGACAACAATAACTCTCTAGTGCTTCCTTTACCCAAGCTCAATCATTTCCTTTTTTCCCAATGCAATGTGAGCCGTACTTTGCTCATGATTCATATTGTTGTTTAAATGGTTTAAATGGGTATTGCTCTGACATAAATCTGTCAGCTCCCTTTAAATTTTCATTGAGGACTGGGCCAGCCCTGTGCAGTAACGCTGAAAGGTTCCTACACAGCTGGGTCACAGAATGTCTCCTTTTGTGCCAAGATTCCTCTTCTTGGAACTTTATTTAAACTTCAAAGAGGAGCAGAATCTACATGGGCAAGATTTCTGAGATTTCTGTTCTCTGGGTAGGCAGTGACTTTCTGTTTCTCCTTTCCTTCTAGGCCCATGGAAAAATATGGTGATTCCAAGGGGCTCCAACAAATGTCCTAAAGGCTTTTCAATAGCTACACTTAATACATTCTGAGGACCCTGACTTTCTTCCATGGGCCAAATTATCATTGAATATCAGTTGAACATGCTCATTAACATGACCACAAATGTAAACTGCAGAAGAGCACACCAAAATCTAGACCAACTAAGACTGCACCGTAATAAGGCTGAATTCCAAAGGCTACTAAGCTTCAGTGAACACTTAGGCATAGATGATAGTGATCATTTCAAATTCTCTTCCACAGGTCATTCTGGTACCAGTCAATCAGAATGTGGAAACAAGATAAGCTCTTCCAAAGTCCAAATTCTGTTCTATTTTTCACCCACAGATGACAATCTTGAATCTACACATAGCCATTCATTTCTTATGGAAACACACTGATGGAAAACACTGCATTCATCAGTCTTAATAGTTTATTTCTAGATGGAAATTCAGAAGAAAGCTGCTATCCATCTACATGTCCAACTGTTCCCTTCATACAGGGTAGAAATCAACTGCAATAGTGCACACTTTTCCGCCACCAGTGCTTTGCCCTGACTCTTGATCCTAGGTCCCCTTGAGCACTCACGCTGGTGGCTCCAAAGCTGAACCTCATGAGGAGGTAGAGCGTGGCGCAGGCTTGGCTGCGGGTGACGTCCATGCTGCTGCTGCAGTGATGCAGCACTCGCTGACACAAGTCTGCACACTGCTCCACTTCCTCCTCAAACAACAAGTCGCCGAACTAGGAGAGACACAACCGCGTTAGACATCACTTGGCACATGCATGCCCTTTCTGGACCAGATGCCTGTTGAGATATGTAAATGTCTGCTTGGACAAGCAAAAAGCCCAGAAGAGTTAATGCACTGCTCCATAAAGATAGTGAGTTACTTGAGTCAGAAGATGAACTGAAGCAATGGAGTTGACTTGATCTCATTAGGAACTGTTTACTAAGATCAAGGCTACATAATTATCTGCATGGTTAGCCAGGCTGGGTTCCCTGGTGAAGTCACAGCTCTGAAGGAATTATCCCATGTTTCCCTGGAAATTATTGGTGACTAAGAGCAAATGATCCCGAAAGGTGAGAGAAGAGAGAGTCCACTTTATTTTGGCTGTGCCTCATGGCTTGTGGGATCTTAGTTTCCCAACCAGGGACTGAAGTACTGAAAATGCAGTCTTAACCACTGGACCACCAGGGAAGCCCCAGGAGTTCACTTTCCAAACGTAAAAGATACCAGGTAGAGGTCAACAACCAAGGTTTTCAATAAAGAGAGGGGGTGGGTGGGGGGAGCACAGAAATCTGCAATATGCCATTTTCCTTTAGGAAAATCTATATTCTTCAGGCTATGAGAAATTTATTTCTAAACTTTCTGGAATTTTATGATGTGACATTTTGTAAGACTCACTAATGGGAGTCATGCAGAGGAACTGAATCTCATTCAGATAAGATATTAAGGAAAAAAAGGTGAAAAACAAATCTGCTCAATTAATTTCCACTCTCATGTGTTCAGTGAGTGGGCCCACATTTCTAACGTGAAGGGCCCTGGTGAGTCTCACAGAATCAGTGTAACTGCTTCCTTCCTAACAAGACTTAAGACTTTTACCTCAGTGTCACTTAACACAGTGGTGGTCTGCGGGTTTTGGTGCACCTGAAGCAAGAAATGTGAAGCTAGCCTGATGAGAATATTAACTCTTAATTAACAGTAAGAGAACAAGCATCCCAAGTTTACCTTGGCAATGAGAGCACGGAGTGTCGCAAAGCAGTGAGTTAGGTATGTGGTGCTCTGATCACAGCTCAGAGAATTCACAAGGACCCTCAGCACTCCTCCCAGAAGGCTGTCTTTGCAGTCCAGAGCCGAGCTTGCCTGGGGGAAGAGAAGAACAGCATCAGTGAATCCCAATGCTATGCCCATGAACTCAGAGGGGAAGACAAAAGTAGGTCCTTTTGGCAATTAGCACAGTGATGCTGACATTTCATCTCTTGGTCTATGATCTTTTTTTTTTTTTGGTCTATGATCTTAAGGGTTTGAGAAAGTATACTGCATATAGTCCATCACCAGGAGAGCTGAAGCCCTATTTCCACAAGACTTTATTCCAAAACTCCCAACTGATTTGGGATTTACGCCTTACTCTGGGCTGCTAACCCAAGCTATAAGGCACACCTCCCCCTCATCCTGGGTAAGCTTTTGGAAAGGTCTTTTTCCTTGTATACAAGGTACAGCTTTCCTTGTGGGCCTCCCAGGGGCTGCTTGTGGCAGTGACATTTCTAAATAGAAGCTTGTTTATCACCTGCAGCAGGACTAATACCACCAATGTCAATAACAATTTCCAACTGCCTTTGAAAACTGCAAGTACATTTTGAGCACAAATGTTAAGAAGACAGCAATCAAAGCAGTATTGTATAAAGATATAATCAATGTGATGCCAAATATTTGATACCAAGTATTTAATCAAAGATACCATATACTTTTTGTCTTTATTTTTATACAATAATTACATTTTAAGAGACAAAAGTTGGATTACTAAGGTTCAACTGTGTTTTGATGATATTTCTTTTTTTTTGCCCTAGAAACAATACTGGATCCATTCTAATAAATGATTTTTCTTTGGAAACATGTAAGGACTCATTTTTGAGGTTAACTAAAAATGTTATCACCTAGATGTCTTGAGAATTTCTGGAAATATTCACTTAGAAGATGAAATTAGTATGGTGAACTGCATTACTGTAAAGTTCACAGTGATATAGTACTTTTCTACAGCAGGGTTGGCAAATTCGTGGTACAGATTATTTTTCTTCATTAATTTGTGTCCAAAACAGACATCATTAATCACACTTTGGATTCTTTTTACTTCATCCAGTCATAATCTTAGCTCCCATATAGACATCAACCGTAATTCAAATGGGGTTGACCTAGCAAAAAAAACCCGAAAACCTACCTACCACAACTATTACAGGTATTGAATTATAAGCCCACCACTCACATTACAATCTTCGCATACGCTCAAGTAGATTTAACTTTGAAGGTCAGTCTGTCAAGCACCTAACTCTTTCCAAGTGAACATCAAGTCAATGAACCCAGAAGGATGTTGTGTTTAAGTATTTCTGGAATTTCTAAGGTGGACGCTATTGTAAATAGTTTTCACTACTGTAAATAGTCTTTCACTTTCACTTCCTCTTTCTGTCTTTCCTTGTGGCTCAGCTGGTAACGAATCCACCTACAATGCGAGAGACCTGGGTTTGATCCCTGGGTCAGGAAGATCCCCTGGAGAAGGAAAAGGCGATCCACTCCAGTATTCTGGCCTGGAGAATTCCAAGGACTGCACAGTCCAAAGGGTCACAAAGAGTTGGACGCAGCTGAGTGACTCACTTTCACTGTAAATAGTAAACTTCCTGACGTCATTAAACAAAACGCACTTTCTATCACACTTATTTTTTCACAGTTTTCTATAAAGGATTCTTACTAAATTCCAGTGGACATATTCATGTTGAACAGATCAGGTGCCTGTTGTCCTCACCTGGATAATGTTTTCCTGCATATCAAGGATGATTAAATTTGCTTCTGTAGCCAGATTGCCACTGATCAAGGCTTCTTGATCTAACTCTGCCTTTGTTCTAAGAAACAAAAAGAGGTCAAATTAAAGGGCATATCAAATCTGGTCATTTCCTGATGATGGTAATCCACATGCCAAGTATAAAGAAATCTTCTGAAGAGTCAGTCTAGGAGTGAAAACAAAGCAGCTGGTCACTGGCAACTAAGGAATATAGGTACCTTGTGTAATTGGAGCCTGGTTAAAAGATTTTCTAGGTAGAGCCTCCAGGCCATCCTCATTCCCACTATTATGAATAATGATGACAATTATAAAAATAACAAATGGGTAGAAAAGCAATTATTGGTTATTACTAGCAATTAGGCCAGCCAATCAGATGGTTGCTTAAAGCTTGAGGGTCATTCTTGCATTTCACCCGTGAGAATCATCTCCCAACCTGAGCCAAGAAGCCTCTGCAACAAGCTAGAGGAAGTGAGACTGGGTTTGACGTGAATTTGGCTAATCACGATGCTGTTGGATTAGGAAAGGATGATGTTTCAGAAGTGGTCGGGGAAGAGTCAGTGTCTTGACTTTCCAAAACTGCTTTGGGGTTGCACAGTCAAGTATGGGCCTTCTGTCCTTTTCCAATGGGAAGCAAGGCTGCATTCCTGTTGGGCACACCACCTAACTTCCTGCTAGATGTCAGTGGCTGTTACCCCCTAGGGAATGGGAAATTACCTAGTGCTGCTTTTCTATTAGGTTCTTTTTTTAAGGAATCAGAGCATCTTATGCATTAATTCATCCATTCTCATAAATTTCAAGTGAAGCTGGAAAGAGAGATTTCGTATCTTCAAATTTACTGGCCAGGAAAGGGAAGTGTGAAGAATTGACTTTCTCAAGATGTCCCAGTGGCTAAACTGTTGCCATAGGGGCTGGGGCATCCTGATACGAGCTCAAAAGTCTTGGTCCAAGATCATCACTTAGCCGCGCTTGCGTCCCTTCACCCACTGATGGGGGCATTGCTGTTGCTTACGTACCATCGAGGACTCAGAATGGACACATTCTATGTTTTAAATGTTTTCATGCCTAGGATAGGCACTGTTGTCCCAAGCTGCTCTATATGTTTTCCTTATTCTCCAAGTGACAATATTTATGTAAAATAAGTGAAAAAGAAAAGCTTCTTTTTATTAATTTACTGGTAGGTTGAGATTTAGAGCAAAGCTATTTAACAGAAACATGTCATTTTCTATTTTGTAGTAGCCACACAGGTGAACTTAATGTTAATATATTTTATTTAACCCAATATATCAAAAATATTGCTGATGTATAATCACAATAAAATTTATTAATGAGATATTTTACATTCTTTAACCTGTGCTAAGTTCAAAATCTGACATGTATATTTTCACTTACTGTACTACCATGGCTACTGTACCAGACAGTGCAGATCTAGCATGACCTAATCTGGGGTTTTTTCCCCAAATTTTTTAATTGTGGCAAAATACACACAACATAAAATTTACCACCCTAACCATTTTTAAGTGTACAGTTAAGTAGGCCCAAGTATACTCATATTGTGCAACCATCATCGCCACTAATCTGGATTTAAAAAGCCTATCAGCTATTTCTTCAAAACAATGGTTCTCAAATCTGACTTCACAAGAATCAAATGGGGCTTTCACCACATACTGTTTTCTGGGTCCCATTGCTGGAGATCCTGCATTAACTGGCCTGGGGTACATCTGAGCACTGGGAGCTATTAAAGCTCCCCAGGCGATTTTAGTGTACAGCTAGGTTGAGAATGAATGCTCTAAAAGAAACAGAGCCAAAATAATTGAAAAATGATCTAAAAGAAGGTGGAAGACACCACTGCTACAATTACAAAAGTTTTCCAAACAGCTAACTTTGCTTGGTTCCATTTTTCTTTTGTTTTTTTTTTTAAAAAATTCCTTCTTGAGGTTATCAGAAGTGAATCATTACCTCTGGTAACAAGCAGCCCGACACGTAGCTCAGGGCTGACTTGACCTGGAGGGGTCTGGTGTGCCCTGTATGGAAAGCCTCATACCATCTTATTTCTGTGACAGAAGGGAAAGGTTTCCCCAGACATCCACTTACACAGCCCAGGCAATCATGCTTTCTGTTTGGCTCTTCTTTTAATCTCATGGAGTAGATGGCCTAACTGCCTAAGCAGTTCTGTGGTAACGAACTACATGCAACAGTTCTTTAATTTGTGTGTGGGGGGGCGGTGGGGGTGGCGCGTGGTTCAATGCCTAAATTAAAACTTGTAGACTCTCAGAATCAATAGTTTATAAATTAGTTCAAGGAATTTAGAACAAGCACAAAATACCCAAAGCAAATGGATGTGATTCCTAAGAGCAACAACTGGGTTATACAAGTTACACATATAATAAAAATATTTATCTCCTTAATGTTTTAAAATAAACTTGACTCCAAAAAGTCCCATAAATGAACCAGAATGATCCATTCTTGTGATAACAACAAAGATAGCAACATATTTATTTATAAAAAAAAACACTGCTACTGAAGCCCACCTCATCCCCCACCCCTCCTTATAACGGATGTTTTATATACCATGGGGATACCCTGCCTATGCCTTGTCAAGTGTATACATGTGGGGAGGGGCTCTCTTAAGCCACATAATGTTTTGCCAGTGAACCCCAGGATTCTTTAGGCTACCTCTTGCTAAGAGGAACAGCAGATATTAATATGTGCTATCTATTAAAACAATTTAGCTTTAGCCCTCATAGGTCCAAATTGTTGCTTATATTGCAATACGGATATAGCATATATTGCAATCCAAGCAGGTTTTTCTTCTTTTACTTTAGCATTACTTTCTGATAATAATATATCATAATACACATTCATTGTAGGAAATATAGAAAAGCATAAAAAGGAAAATATCCTTCACAAACATTCTCAACACAAAGAAAATCATGGTTCATGTTTTGGTAAATTTCCTTCCAGTCTTATATCTACTATGTGTAGAGATTTAAAATTATATACTAAAAACAAATGTCTACTCTGCTTTGTTCACTTAACATTGAATGATAAGCATTTCCCATATCATTAAAATGATTTGGAAACATTTAAATGCCAACCTAATATTTCATTATCTATTTCCCTATTTTTAGCACTTAGAATGTTTCAATTTTGTGTGGGGCTTCCCTGGTGGCTCAGCAATGAAGAATCTGCTTGCCAATGCAGGCACATTGAGACTTGGGAGACACAAGAGACTCGGGTTCGTTCCCTGGCTCGGGAAGATCCCCTGGAGACGGAAACAGCAATCCACTGCAGTATTCGTGCCTGGGAAATCCCATGGACAGAGGAACCTGGGAGGCTACAGTCCATGTGGTTGCAAAGAGTTGATCAAGACTTAGTGACTAAACAACAATTTTTTTTTACAATTTTATGTAATGCTGACATAAATATCCCTGAATATACATCTTTGTACACATTTCTGGAGTGGAAATATGGATTGAAATGATGTGTTCCTGGGTACCCTGTCCTGTCTTATCATCAGCCTTTGTTAAGCTAGCTGAGATTGCTAAACATTAGTTTTCTTTAAATGCTTATTAACGGGATAAATGTTTAAGAGCTGTAAATCATAATTTCTTTATACCATTATTTCTTTATAATCATCTTTATGCCATTGATTGTCCTGGAACCCTGGATGAACTAAATGTATACAGATAATGATGTTTCATTTCCTTACCCTTGGAAGGATGTAGTTGTTTCAGTAACACAAGTAGCCTGGGAAAAATCATTTTGAACTTTAGGTAAAAGTGGCACAAAGTTGCTGAGTAACTTACTTATCTAGCTTCTCATTAGCTTGCCGCCAATGTGTCTGCTCTTTCCTCCATCTCAAATTTTCATTTAGGCCTGGAAATCGGTCATTCCCTAGGAGTTAAGAAACGCACAACAGGAATTTGATTAGCAGTAGTAGCAAGATAACCAGAAGTTCTGTAACAAGCTCAGCGGAGGGGACTCAGAGCTGTTTCTCCAGATAATTAGAATCCATGCTGGTGCTGGTGGGAGGCCAAACCCACAACCAAGTCTGGGGTGGGTTAGTCTGCTCTTTGATTGACAGGCTAGACCTCAGAAGCCTTTCTGGAGTGTCGGCAAGCACATCTCCCATGGACACAGGGTTCCAGTGAAAACAGGGTTTCTCCCCAAATTATTTATTTATGAAGAGTGCTGGTGTTGAAAAAGGGTGCCCAACCACCCCTGAGAAGCTCAGCTCCTTCCAGGTTCCCTGCCCCTGTGTCCCACTGAAGAGCAGGAACCATCACTTTGTTTTCCTTGAGCACAATGGATAAGGCTGATATGTCCTAAAGAGAACTCAGCCTTTTGGAGATCACTGTCAGACTGTGGGGTGAGACCCTCTAAGACCACTGCAGGAGGGGACTGGATCCATTCTAGTAAACCCTGTATGACTTGGGGAAATGATCTTGGAACCAGAACTATCCAGTAGGACTATCTATATAGACTCTTCAAATATCCCAGGGAGAAGTGAGGGAGACACCATTCATCATCCCATGACTCATATTCTTGGATGGGACCTTTTACCACCAATAAGTTTTAAACAGAAGATGCCATCTGAGCACATTTTCAGGGCTCCTGTGACCTCAGGAAAGGAGCTTTCCCTTAGAGAAATGCGGCTAATGTCACATACATCGTGCGTCGAATCCCAGAATCTGCTTGTCTCTATTACCACAACGTGTTAAGAAAGTGATGGTGTCTACTCATCATGTGAGGAGGACGCTCCTTCCCACGAAGGGTACCACAGTCTGCTGACGGAGAGCAGGGAAGGGCTGACCCAACACACCTGGAGTCCGGCAGCGCCGCATCATCTCCCCTCGGGCCCCTTCCCCACGGAGCAAAGCCTCTTCCAGCCTGGCCTTGACATCCCTCGACTTCTGCAGAACTTGGGTACTGACTTTGTCAGAACTCTGTTTTCCCTGGACAGGACAGAGGCAGAAGGACATTAAGTTTGGAGAGCTCTCTGTTCATGGGGAGAATCCTAAAGACAGAACACCCCATGGTGACATCAGCCAGTTTGGACATATGCTACACAGACACCCTGTTCTGGGGGATCCTCTGGCTGAAATTCTGTCAACGGAAATGACATTCTCTCTGAAGAAGACAGAGATCCTTTCCCGGTGGAATTATCATATCTAGATAGGTTATGGATATGCAAATAGGTTATAGACTTTAATACAGAAATAAGACAAAATTAAGGATGCTGCCATTGCCCAAACAGAGGGGGAACGGTGACAAGACAGACTTGAGAGATACCTTGTATTCAAAACACGAGACACAGATGAAAAGGAGATCTAAAATCCTGTTTAGCTGCATGGATGGCAGGTCGGCAATCCACTTCCTAAGGAGGCTCTGGTCAGCATTTTTCATGATCCACAGGAAGCAGATCATGAGGTTTCGGGTCGTGTCAGCATTCAGCATGTTGTACTGCTTGTAGGGCTGGAAGGAGGCAGATTGGGAGATGGATGCAAGGGAAGAGACTGAGCAGCAGACATAATGAAAGGAATGTTGATTTCTTAGGACATAGTGTCTGTACTTCTTTCTGGGCTGGGGGCTCTGTTTAGGGGAACTCTGCCTTCTCCTGGCAGTGGAAGCTGTGTTCTTTGAGCTGTGCTGCTGGGGAAAGGGGCAGTATTATAACCAGGCTTTCAGCCATGTAATTGTGGACACTCTTCTGTTTCAGGAGCCGGAGAAGGCAATGGCAACCCACTCCAGTACTCTTGCCTGGAAAATCCCATGGACGGAGGAGCCTGGTAGGCTGCAGTCCATGAGGAAGAGTCCGACGCGACTGAGCGACTTCACTTTCACTTTTCATTTTCATGCACTGGAGAAGGAAATGGCCTCCCACTCCAGTGTTCTTGCCTGGAGAATCCCAGGGACAGGGGAGCCTGGTGGGCTGCCATCTATGGGGTCGCACAGAGTCAGACATGACTGAAGCGATGCAGCAGCAGCCTGTTTCAGGAGCAGTGTGGTCTGGTGGTCTGCTCTGGACTTTAGCCATGCCCTCCCCCCACCCAATCTCAGTAATTCACAAGGGCTTCCAAGCTGCTAAGATCAAGTATATCTCCTTCACACTGGAGACTGCTGGGTTGGACTTATAGCAGATAACTACCCTGGCTTGGTTCCCAAAATACCCTAACTGTTCAAGATTTCTTTGTCAGAGTCCAAAGTATAAGGGTCATGAACTGCTCAGCAAATGAATCAAATACATAATTCAGAGGAGTCCTTTAGAACAGTACTTCAACCACAATTTATGTTTTCCTGGGGACAGGGTGTGGGGGCTCAGGCTATTTGCTCTCAGGCTTTGGCCACAAATGTTCATTTTAGCGTGCTGAGCACACTTTTTGTCACTCATCCAAACAACACAAAGGACAACATGTGACTCACGTGGCGTAGCTAATATCCAACGGAATGTAGGAGTGAAGCTGCAGAGAGGTGTTAGTTCACATGTGAGGGGAATGGTAGGTTTGAGTGGGGAGGATAGAGCTTACAAAGTTGCTTTAACTTTAGTTTTTCTGGGTATGACCACAAGAAGAAGTAATATTTCCAAATGTATTATAACTTCATAGGAAATATCTTCTAGGAGGTGAACCTTGGACTTTTGAGTTTCTCTGTTGGAGACAAACCAGAATGTAAAAGGCACATACCACCTGAAGCACCCAATTTTGGTAAGACGGATATCAGAAAGGTAGAGGAGGTCATAGAGCACATCATATTTGTTAAGCTGCAGGGTAAGTAATGCCAACTCTCCATGTCTTTTCTCTTTTTCACCTCCTATCCTTCAACTTGTGGATGTGTGTTGGGGGAGGGGGGAGGGAATCAGGGAGTGTTAGAGGGAAGAGAATTCAGCCAAGCAGAACTTTGGTTGAGAGGTTGTCTTCCCAGGAAAGAACTGGGTTGAATCCTCTGCAGATGTGAATGCTACACTGAAATGCAAACTTAAATTAGGCTGGAGAATGCAGCTCTGTCTTGGCAAAGGGGATTGTCTGAGCTCAGCAAGGAAGAGAGGCAGATCCCACAGAGTGCAAGCCTCCTGCCTGAGGGCTCCTTGGTTTGATCTCCTTTGCAATATCTCAGGTTTTCCAAGTTCACCTTTCTTGGTTGTCCAAACCTTGAACTTAACACTACTGAAATTGCCTGAATTTGTTCTGTGAGTCTCCTGCTGTTGTCAGAACCCTGTCTGACTTTGTGTTACCTCACCTGTATCATTGTCCTTCTCAACTGCTAGCCTCACATGATTTCTTCCAGCATTGAACAATAAGGCAGAAATCTCATTGCCTGCTCTATCCTGGGTTCTGGTAGGTGAATTTAGGAACACATCCATTAATAGATGGGAAAAGACACAAAATGAAAAATAAACAAGAGAAATGTGGACCAACATACCAGGGAAGACAACATTGTTCCACTTGTCTTCAAATTGAAATTTCCAGCTATAGCCAATGCCACATTCTGATTAATTGCACTGGTCCCTTCTTGTTCTTCATCTGAGCCATTGGCACGATTTTTTCCACCTCGAGCTTCTGCAGCTGCAATTAAAATAGTATTGATCTTACTACATGATCCAGGAATCATGCTTCCTGGTATTTACCCAAAGGAGTTGAAAACTGATGTCCACACAAAAATCTGCACACAGATGCTTACAGCAGCTTCATTCATAATTGCTACAACTTGGAAGTAACCAAGATGTCCTTCAATAGGTGAATGGATAAAAAATCTGGCACATTCAGACAATAAAACATTATTCAGTGCTAAAAAGAAATGAGCTATTAAGCCATGAAAAATCATGGAGGAAACTTAAATGCATATTACTAAGTGAAAGAAGTCCATCTGGAAAGGCAAAACTATGGAGACAATAGAAAGTTCACCCCTCCTTTTCTCACTTGGTACCCATACATCTGTTCCCTATGTCTGTGTCTCTATCTCTGCCTTCAAATAGGATCAATTATACCATTTTTTCTAGATTCCACATATATGTGTTAACATACAATATTTGTTTTTCTCTTTCTGACTTAATTCACTCTGTATGACAGTCTCTAGGCTCATCCACTTCTCTACGAATGACTCAATTTCATTCCTTTTTATGGTGAAGTAATATTCCATTTATATACGTACCACATCCTCTTTATCCACCCCTCTACTGATGGACATCTAGGTTGCTTCCATGTCCTGGCTGTTGTAAATGGTGCCGCTATGAACATTAGGGTGCATGTATCTTTTTGAATTACAGTTTTCTCTGGGAATATGCTTAGTAGTAGAGGGATTTCAGGATAGTAATTTTAAACCTGACATTTAGCACTATTTATCTGTTACCATCTATAGTGAAAAGCAGGCAGTCTAATAAAAGAGACAAAATGTCCAGCACAAGATTAGGCTAGAAATTAACTTTTCAAACTGGGAAAACAAAAAATTTCAAAGCTTTCATAACACTTTTCTATAATATGGTATTTTTACTTCATTTATATATTTCAAATAATGGCCAAATAGGAATATAAAATTACAGAATTAAATAAGTACCTTATAGAGTAATAAGCCATTATTACAAATTCAGCAATAATTTAATAGATTTTTAATGTCTGAAATAAATGTTAATTTATTATACTCAAGTAATATATTTATATTTATACATAGGTTTCAGTTCAGTTCAGTTCAGCTCAGTCGTGTGCAAACAAAATAGGGAGCCACAATTTAAAAGGTTTATTTTTAAGATCATGATCAATTAAACATAGAAAGTATTTGCTTAAGTAGTTTTGAGGAAAATGTGTTAAAACATGTATGACTGATACATTAAAAACTCGTAATTTTATAGACCTGTCAACATTATAGTTTTTTGACTTTCAATTTTTCAGAAAAATAGCCATGTGAACAGATTTTCACCTACCAAACTTGTAAAAACAGAACTCAATTTTTAAAAAAATAATAATTCACTATTGTTCTTAAGTCAATAGAATTTTTAAGCACACAGTGAAATGAAAAGCATGTGGCAATTATTCAAGACCTGATAACATTATCAGGATTACTTTGAGGATACATTCTCATTTTTACTAAATGTGCATAGGCTCATGGTTACAAGAAAAAGAGAGGAGAGAAGGATAGAAACATTTGCTGCCAAGATGCTTTCATAGAAGTTCTCTCATTTCCTCTTTATCACAACCCTAAGATACAGACATTGCTATCGCGTTTTTACAGCCGAGGAAAGGAAAGGAAGGCATAAAAGGTTGAGGAAATTTCCAAAGGTCACATATAGTAATAAATGGGCTGGAATTTGAATTCTGTTGTATTTTTTTAATACTATACTCTTAGTTCATCAATCAAAAGATTTCATATCTAATAAATGTACTATTATCTTTAATAATAGAATATTTACATTGTTTTTCCACTTGTTAGCTACATCATGACTATAAAGTTCAGCGCATACATAAAGAAATCATTGAGATTTAAAAGACCAAGTGCTCTAGAAGGGTGGGAAGGGGCAGGAAGTGGGAGGGAGGTTAAAAGGGAGGGGACATATGTATACCTATGGCTGATTCATGTTGCTATATGGCAGAGGCCAGCACAATATTGTGAAGCAATTTTCCTTCAATTAAATAACTAAGTTTGAAAAAAACAAAAAAATAAGGCTTGTACTTTAAAAAGATATAATGCTACTGTACGCTTAATAGACCACAATATAGAGTAAGCATAACTTTCATATGCTCTGCGAATCAAAAAAAGCAAACAAACAAGTGCTAAAACGTTATGATCCAAAGTAACTGATGTGGAAAATTTTAATCAACAATGAAACTTTGGATAATGTGTGTTAACGTGATTCCCTGCTTTGGGAACAAACAAATAACAGATCTTCAAATAAAACTGTCTTGAAATGTCCATGCAAAATTCTACAAGGGATCTGCAAAGCTGTGCTCTGAACTGAACCTTTAAATTCTGAAGACAGCTATCTTCTGTTTGCCCTTTACTCAGGCACTGCTACAGGAAGCTCTGCGCATCTTACCGGGCAGCCAGCTCATCTGGTGGGCTAAGATAGCTTCCGTCACTTCCTTGCCCATTTTCCCCCTCATTTTATGAGCTGAATGATTGTCACCCACAAGGAGTTTAGAAATAATTGTCACACAGGACATTTTGCTTTCGGAGGAAGCAGGAAAACATGATAGTTCTAAGGTTCCAAGCATGATTCCTTACAAGGATTTTAGACTTAAGCATTCTTCAGTTAGAAGAATAGCACAGTAATTTCTAAGAACTTCCCTTCGCTGAGGGAAAAGCAAAAAGCACCCTAAAGTCAGCATTGTGTGTGTGTGTGTGTTAGGGGGATGACAGGCAGATGGGATTGTCTTTCTCAGGTCTCAGATAAGATGTTCTTTTTGAGTGAGTGTAGTTTTGTTTGTCTACATTCCCTAATCCACACTGTAAAATGCAAATAAACTCAGGAGGTGCCTTTTAACAACTGATGCTTTCCTCTGGTGGCCAAGTGGGAGATACTGAATTCCAATCTTAATGGGCTTTTTAGTGCCAAAGGCAAAATTCCTCTGCGATAGCAGCGTTTCCTAATAATGTCAGACAACATGATATATACATATATTTTTATGCATGGTACAAATGTTTAGACTCATTTGAGTCTGCTTCTTTCCTTAAGTGCTCATAAAATAAAACAGAAGGAACACTTTATTTCAAGACATCAGACCACAGATCACCAAAAGGAGTAATTCTGTTATTTTATCATCCTTTGTGGTGTACAGTCTTTAGTGTTCATTTACCAACAGACCAATGAATGAATAAGTGAGCAACAATTAAAAAAATATATGCCACTGCTAACTCGCTTCAGTCGTGTTCGACTCTGCAACCCCATAGACAGCAGCCTATATATATGGCTTAAAAAAATACACTTACCAGGGCCTATGTTTAAAAAGGTGTGGAGAGCAGTGATAGTGGGAATGGCTCACACTAGCATATTAGCACTGGAGCCAGCAATGGAAACCACATTTCAGTGGTGAATCTGGCAGGAACCCCCATCAATCCAAAGAAGGAAATAGAAGGCATCATTACCTGTAAAGTCATAGAGCTGTGGCAAAGCATCCAAAATGATACCAACCAAGGGCAGGTAGAGGGCAGCGACTTTGACCTTCACCTCTGGCTTCATACAACGTGGGTCCAGGTCGTGAGAACTCAGCAGGCTGTGGATGGCACTGACAGCTTTCCTTTGTACCTTGCTGATCCTGTTCGCACAACACAAAAAGCCAAGGCTATAGTGAAGCAAGGTTGACCAGAATGCTCCTAAACAATGAGGTGATGATATGAAACCAAGCAAAGTAGGGTAGAGGTGTACAGAATCCAGAGACAAGCTGCTTGTGGTCTAGTTCTGGCTCTGCTGTTAGCACAATGTTTAAAGTTCATCATGTTGTAGAAGCAGTATTTCACCCCTTTTTATCACTAAACAATATTCCACCACATAGACCTATCACATTTTATTTGGTGAAAGTGAAAGTCACTCAATCAAGTCCAACTCTTTGTGACCCCATGGACTATACAGTCCACTGGAATTCTCCAGACCAGAATACTGGAGTGGGTAGCCATTCCTGACTCCAGGTGATCTTCCCAACTCAGGGATCAAACCCAGGTATCCTGCATTGCAGCCATATTCTTTGTCATCTGAGTCACCAGGGGAGCCCATGAATACTGGAGTGGGTAGCCTATCCCTTCTCCAGTGGATCCTCCCAATCCAGGAATCGAACCGGGGTCTCCTGCATTGCAGGTGGATTCTTTACCAGCTGAGCTACATTTTACTTATGCATTCATCAACTGATGGACATTTGGATTTTTTCTACTTTTTGGCTATGATGAATTATGAACACTGCTGTGAATACTTGTGTAAGTTTTTATGTAGGTATAGGTTTTTATTTCTCTTAGACATCTACCACAGGGTAGAACTATTGGATCATATGGCAACTCTATATTTAATCTTTAGAGGAACTACATCATTTTACATTCCCACCGGCAGTTCTATCTTCTCTTTGCCGACATTTGTTATTATCTGTCTTCTGTATTATAGCCAGGTGCTATGAATTGACTGTGATCTGCTCCCCTCAAATTCATATATTGAAACCTAATCCCTTATGTGATAGTTTTTAGAGGTGGGGCCTTTGGGGGGTGCTTTAGGTCATGACATCAGAGCCCTCATGAATGGGATTAGTGCCTTTATAAAAGAGACTGCAGAGAGCTCACTTGCCCCTTTCTGCCACAGGGGAAGACAGCAAGAAGATGCCCATCTGTGAACTAGGGAGTGAGTCCTCACCAGACACTAAATCTGTCAGCTCCTTGACTTTCAACTTCTCAGTCTCCAGAACTGTGAAAAATAAATTTCTGTGGTTTATAAGCCACCTAATCTAAGATATTTTCATTAGAGCAGCCCAAAGGAACAAAGACAGAGGAGTATTTAACTGATTTTGATATACATTTCCCTGATGGATAATTATGTTGAAAACCTTTTCAGGGGCTTATTGGTCATATTTTCATTGGAAAAATGTCTGTTCTGATCCTTTGCTCTTTAAAAAATTGAGTTATTTGCTCTTTTATTATTGAGCTATAAGACATAAAAAATACATTTTAGATACAAATCCCTTATTAGATCAATGATTTGCAAATATTTTCTCCTATTCTGCTTGCTGTCTTTTTACTTTCTTAATGATGTCCTCTAAAGGACAGAAGTTTTAATTTTAATGGAGTCTAACTTACCTCTTTTTCTCTTTTGCTGGGTTTATTTTTGATGTTAGATCTAAGAAACCACTGCCTAATCAAATTTCTTGAAGATTACCCTTATGATTTCATCTTAGAGTTTTATGGTTTTAACATTTACATTTAGGTCTTTGAAACACTTCAACTTTTGTCTATGTTGTGAGATAGGGGTCCAATTTCCTTTTTTTGAATGTGGATATCAAGTTTTCCCAGCACCGTCTCTTGAAAACACTATTTTTCCACCACTGATTGTTTTGCACTCTCACTGAAAAATCATTTGACTATAAATGTAAGGATTCATTTCTAGACTCAATTTAATTTCATTAATTTATACATCTATCTTCAGATCAGAACCACACAGTCTTGACTAATTTTGCTTTGTATCAAGTTTTGAAGTGGGAGGTGTGAGTTCTCCAATTTTGTTCTTTTTTTTCAAGATTGTTTTGGTTATATTGGAGTCCCTTGAATTTTCAAATGCATTTTAGTATCAGCTTGTCAATTTCTGTAAGGACCAGCTGGAATGTTGAGAGGAATTGTACTGAATTTGTACATCAATTTGGAGAGTACTGCCATCTTAACAATGTTAAATTTTATGATCCATGAATATGTCATGTCTCTCCATTTATTTAGATCTATTTCTTTCTAAAGTGTTTTGCAGTTTTCAGTGAACAAGTCTTAAACTTCTTCTATTAAACTTATTCCTAAGAATTTTATTCTTTTGATGCTACTTTAAGTGGAATATTTTTAAGTTTTTTATATTGTTCATGGAAGGAGTATAGAAATACAATTAATTTTTGTATATTGATCTTGTATCCTGCAACCTTGCTAAACTCATTTATTACCTTTAATAGCTTTTTTTAGTGGGAACTTTAGGGTTTTCTATAAACAAATCATGCCACCTGTGAACAGAGACAGCTTTACTTCTTCCTTTCCAATATGGATGCCTCTTATTTCATTTTCTTGTTTAACTTCCATGGGTAGAACTTCCAGTAAAATGTTGAATAGAAGAAGAAAGAGTGGACATTTTTGTTTTGCTCCTCACCTTGTAAGGCAAGTATTCAATCTTTTACCAATAAGTATGATATTAGCTGTGGGTTTTTCATAGATGCTTTTATCAGGTTGAGGAAATTCTCACATATTCCTACAGAGTTTGTGGAGTGTTTTCCAGAGGTACTAGATTTTGTCAGATGCTTTTTATTCTTCTATTGAGATGACTGAGTGGGGTTTTTGTCTTTTATTATATCAACTGACTTTCAGATGCTAAACCAATCTTGCATACCTAGAATAAATCCTACTTAGCCTTGGTGTATAACCTTTAATATATGTTGTTTAGTTCAGTCTGCCAATATTTTATTGAAGATATTTACATCTATATTCATATTGGTCTGCACTTTTCTTGTGATATCTTTATCTGCTTTGCCATCAAGGTAATGCTGGCTTCATAGAATGAGTTGGGTGTATCCTTAAAAATGTGAAGGATTGGAATTAATTCTTCTTTAAACATTTGGTAGCACAGCACAAAAATTCTAGATAATTTACACATGCTTGAAAACCACTATGGATTTACTGATGTATGGATGTTGTGGACACCCTCAGGTAAGAAGGGTTCCACAGCGATCCCTTAGAATCTAGAGCTATGACTCCTTTCAGGAGTTCAGCTGTTGAGATGTGTACCACTGGCCCTGTGCCTCAGATGGGTGGGTGTTGGTGAGACTATTAATTGCTTTGGCAGCCAAAGGAAGAACTGATCAAAAGGATATATTGTCAGAAAATAAACTGTTTCTGAGACTTCTGTTCATATATAAAGTCCATGATGGTATTTTTAATGACTCTCCAGGAGAGTAACTGACAACCCAACAATCAGGAATTATTGTTTTGCCAAAGGAGTGACACTCTTTAATTAGTTACCCTTTGGGGGGTAGAAGAGGTACCGTGTGTGTGTGTGTATGTGTTTGAAAAAATGGACATACCTGATTAAACATAATTACATGATGATCTCTGAACATACTCTACTCTCTTGCTAGTAAAATAACAGCAACAATCTTATGAGGAATCAGAACAGATGCAAAGCCTGGTTCCTTAGACATTTCACTAGAAGAGAAATGGAAAATAGAGACTACCACTCATGTAGATACTAAAGAGTATTATGCTTTCAGAAATCATGGAAATCTCTGCTATCAAAGGACAATTAAGATAAAGTATGCATGCGTGTGTGTGTGTGAAGGCAATTTTCTTTTTGCACAAGCCTCCTTCTCAGCACATTCTCAGCATATGTGTCAAAGCACTTTGTGTTGCTGTGGAAATTCATGTTAGCTATAGGGTAGAAAATTCTACTGAGAAAATTGGGAGGAGTTTGATGAAACTGAAGCCTTGGAAAACGAAGCTAAGGATATACCTGGTACCTGAATTTCTGGAAGGAGGCAGAATTCAGAGCTGAGAGCATCAGACTTCCCACAATGACCTGCTGGGAGACAGAGACCTACCATCCCTTAGGCATTATCAGTATGGACAAAGCATTGGGGACACATTTGTTATTGAAGTTACACAAACTAGTGCTCTTGTAATTGTTTCATACAGAGACATCCTATTTTTGTCACAAAATTATAAATACTTTGAGAAAACTTCAGAATCTCGAATTAGACAATAATCTATAACATACAACAATGCTGCCATTAATCAGCACATTCTATTTCAGAAACTTCTTGAACAGGGGGAGGAAGAAGGTAGGCATTGTAGGAGTAGGTTTTCAGGCATGGAGACCATGGTTTCCAGACTTGAGTCTGCTATTGAAAGTTCCTTCAATTCCATGGGCCTAATCTGAACACTAAGAGGGCCGAATCTAAATTATTTTTCAATCCTAACACTCCTTGGATTTGAGCCCCTGTCAGCAGTGACCCAAGTGGCATCTGACTGCTGCCTCTGTGCATACAGCTCACCCAAGGTACACCTTAAAAACAGCTTTGTTTCTAAGCAGCTCACTAACCAAGCATCCCGGGGAAACCTAGTAGAATTGGTAAAGTGAAAGTGTTAGCCGCTTAGTTGTGCTACTCAGTCATGTCTGATTCTTTGGGACCCCATGGACTGTAGCCCGCCAGGCTCCTCTGTCCATGGGATTCTCCAGGCAAGAATACTGGAGTGGGTTGCCATTTCCTCCTCCAGGGGATCTTACCAACCCAGGGATCAAACTGGGCCTCCCGCACTGCAGGAAGATTCTTTACAGTCTGAGCCACTAGAGGCCCTGGTAGAATTGGTAACTTCCTCTTAATGAATAAGCGGTTGAAAAGAGGTATTTTATGGTTATTCTCCATCCCTCATGCCTTTCCATGTTTGTATTGGAATCACTTTCTCAAAACGTGGCTGCTTCTATTCCTTGAAACTGGTGAATGGTGGAGTTTTTCACCAAGGAAGAGAGGTCGGAGTGTAAAAATTTAGTAAGGAGCATCCTTTTTTTTTTTTTTGCTTTTGTTCCATTATAAATGTTTGAGACATACCCTTCCCCTTCAGCATCCAGGGCGGTGGCCAGCTCGGTGAAGAGAAGCCCGGTGAGGAAGTGCTGCTGGCGGTACTCCGGAGTCAGGTCGAACATGCTAGTAATCTTCTGGTCCTGGAAACTGGAACAGGAGCTGGAGTTCTATAGAAATGTAAGGGGCAGTTTTCTGAGTAACAAGAACTGGAATTAACACCACGATGGCTCGGAGCATCAAGCACATGCTACCAGCCAGGCTCTGCCGGCATGGTGAAGCACGTGCCTGCACCTGAGTTGCTGCTCACGTCCCCACATGTCAGGTGAAGAAACTGATACTTAAGAGCGTCTACTCTGCTCAACTGGCGAAGAAGACTAAAATCCTCGGATCTCATCTTCATGGGGAAATGGGGATTCTACCCCCTGTTATGGCTTTGAGCTGGTGATTCCTCTATAACAGACTGCCACCTTTATTTAATGTTCCTGTTTACACTTCTGGAATATGACTTACCTACATTGCCTAAATTTTGCTGGCCTGGAAACCAGGAGCAGCATCAGGCAGGCCAATACCTGTGTTCTTATCTTAGGGCGAACTTTCTATGTCACTAAGAGGCTCCAACTGTCTCCAGACAGCCTTTCCAGTTTGGTGACGCTGGCAGGAGGTCAGAAGCAGAATATGGGGGAGGACTAGGGGTGGAACTGGCAGGTGTGGAACAGCTGCTTTACAAGCTCTTCCCCAGTTCACAACATACGGTGCACATCTGGATCTAAATGTCATCTGGCATGAATAGCTAACATTTTTAAAACAATTATTAAGAAAAGCCTCTTCCTTTGTGCTAGTATCAAAGAAAATGCATCTGAAAGAAAACCTAGAAAGAAGAAATCTTGCCTGCTATTCTGAGCTCCTGATTTGTTCCCTATATATGGACTGTGACTATTAAACAGCAGTACTTCATAAAGTTTTTCTAGAGGACACCACTCCCCCAGATCGATGGAGGAAAAAAGAAGATTTCCAGAGTCCAGCATTTTGGGAAGCACTGCTTATCATTCACCTCCTCCTACCTCCTCTGCCACCCCGGGGCATTGTAATTTATATAACCAAGTTAGAGACTCTTGAATGGCCTATTGCAAAGAAACCTTTTAACACAGGTTTTCTAAAATGGAGTTGTCTTCAGAAATCTATATTTGCATAATACCTCTTAACATCCTGTGAAATTTGGGGCCCACCAAACCTAACCTGCATAATACTGTTCTACAAAAAAAGACTCATCTCTATATATTAATACAAGTGTTACTCTTCTGTGATGATTAAGAAAAAGAACTTTTAGAAATATACTCTATAAAACAGACCACTTGATTATTTTACAAGGAGATACTTTTAGTGTTTCAAGAGCTAAATTTTCGAGAATATGATTCAAGGTGGAATCATTTTGTACTTAATTTCATTCTATATCAGAATCAGCAGAAAGTTCTGGGATCATTCAAAGATATAATAAAGTATCCATGTTAAAAATTACTACTAGATCATTTGGGAATCAATATGAAGGAAACTAACTTTAATTTCATCAATTTTATGGTGCTAAGGTTTAGGAAAAGGGAAGTGAGCAAAGGAGACTGTCAAGCTAAAGTAAAGACTGTCAGCAAAAGAAGATCTGTGAATTTTCTATGAATTAGACATTTTTCATAGTGCATATAGATTTTGTGCTCTAGTTGGCCTCAGCAGGGACCCTTGAGCCTAGACAGAAAATGATCACATAGCTTGTAAATGATTAGCTAGATGAAATAACTTGGGGTAGCAGACATATGTGTATCTGGATCGACTGACCTAGTTTGAATAACTCAATTTTTCTTCTAATTAAGAAGACCAACCTGCATAGGAATAAATGACTAAGCCAAGATAATTCAATGAACCAGCTTAAACACTTTCCAGTTAGCTGCTTACCTGGGAAGATATGGAGGGACAGGGAGATGCTGGAGCAGTATCCGCATTCATGAAGAAGAGGTTCAGATTGAGGTAATGCTCATGGCTGCAGAGAATTCTCAGGAACTCCAGCCTCATGGAAATGAGTGTTGGAAGGTTGTTGAGCTTGGCTGACAGCTGGTAAGAAAATGGGGAGAGAAAAGAGGTTTTATTCCATGGTGAGTGGAGTTGAGGTTGACAGACACAAAATTATCCTTTCTCCCCAGATTACAGTAATCAATGGAATAAAAATGAGTGGGACAGGGCAATAGATGGCAAACTCTGCATTATAGGAAGGTCCAGTAAGTTTTCATTCATTGTCGTTGTTTAGTCACTAAGTCATGTCTGACTCTTTAGCAGCCTCATAGACTATAGCCCTCCAGGTTCCTCTGATCATGGAATTTCCCAAGCAAGAATACTGGAGTGGATTGCCACTTCCTACTTCAAGGGATCTTCCTGACCCAGGGACTGAACTGTGTCTCCTGCATTGCAGGCGGATTCTTTACCACTGAGCCACTTTACTGTTCCTTTTAGGATTCTAGTCTAACAGCTGTCCATTATAAGAATGCTTGCCTCAACCCTACCCTCGTCAAATCTCTGATATGATGGATGGCAAGCTCATGCTAAAAATAATCTGGAGGTACGTCTTCACTGTAACACAATATAATTTTACAAAAATCCTACTGTGTCTGAGAAACTAAAGGAAAGGAGTTGACCTCACATGGGGCCACACAAAACTAATGAAATAGGACTGGATGACTTGAACGCCACAAGTGTTCTTTGTGGTTTCTAATTAAAGGCCCCACTGGTAAGCTTTCAAACCAGTCCCTAGATGAAAGCATCAAATTACTTACGAAAGTATGTAGTCCCTGCATAAAAGCCTAGGAGTTTGCCCCCAAAGTGGGAGAGGAAGAAGTGGAGGAGAAAGAGAAAGCTGGGAGAATTCTCAGGAAAAATCTTTTCAAACAAACCAATACTGAAAAGAGCAATGAAAAGCTGGCAAACATGACAGTCTGGAAGAGATCCCTTGCTTCCCTCAGGGAGGCTGACAACTGAAGGACTGAGACTCTATGGGCCGTGACGAAGTAAGGAAAGAAGGGCTTGATGGACATTCTGCGCCGTGTGCGCTGAGCTGTGTCTGACTCTGCGTTTCCGTGGACTGTAACCCGCCAGGTGCCTCTGTCCATGGGGATTCTCCCGGCAAGAGTACTGGAGCGGGTTGCCATTTCCTTCTCCAGGGGATCTTCCCGAGCCAGGGATCAAACCCAGGTCTCCCACATTGCAGGCGGATTCTTTACCGTCTGAACCACCAGGGATGGAGCTTCAACCTCAGTATGTCACCACAAGGACTCTGCTGGCCCAGCACAATAAGCCAAGCATCTCACCCTTACAAATGGCCATGCGTCCTCTTCATGAACTTTAAGAGCAGTTTTATAAACTATACAATTTAAATGAGTACATATTTTCAGCCATTTTAGTGAAAAGCCATTGTGTTACAGCATTTTACCTATAGAATCTGTAGTTAGTAGACATTTATTGGAAAAAAATGAATGCCATTATGTACTATAGAAAAAATAGAATATATGACTTCTGTGTATGAACCTTTACCAGAACCCATACTCCTGTCAATGTGTATTACTGGCTGATTTTGAACAGGGACACCAGCAACTTAAACTCATTAAAACCCAGTCTTATGCCATTCACTCAATGGCCACTTCCAAAGTTGTTGGGTCAAGCCTGCTATCAGAACTTGAAAGCACAAGATATCTGCATTTGAAAGAAGGCCACACTGTGGGCATCTTTCATAAGTCCCTTGAAATGTCAATGAAGACAAAAATTTCAAAAATAATTTTAGCAATGTTTAAGAAAGAGTAAAGTGCAGTTTGGGTTTCCCAGATGGCACTAATAGTAAAGATCCCACCTGTCAATGCAGGAGATGTAAGACACTTTTGATCCCTGGGTGAGGAAGATCCCCTGGAGGAAGGCATGACAACCCACTCCAGCATTCTTGCCTGAAGAATCCGATGGACAGAGAAGCCTAGAGGGCTACGGTCCTCTGTGGCCATGTGGCCACAAAGAGTCAGACATGACTGAGGTGACTTAGCATGCACACAGGCAAAACTCCATCCTGTGTGCAAACATCCTTTGCAAAGGTCAGGGCCCAAAGTTGTAGCCCCGGTTGCCCAATTCTCACAACCACCTTGCTAAGTCAGTTCAGCTGTAATTTCTCACCCTTGAGATCTGACCAAATTCCTCACCCCTCATGTTCCCCAGGTGGTTCTGATCACCCTAGCTTGCCTTCAGTAAGAATTCTGTTAGGTTAAGTTTGACCAGAATTCTCCCTATTTACCCTTGATTTTCCTCTTAGTAGTGTTTCATCCACTTACTACTCTTACCCTGTTCCTTGGCTATAAATTGACATTTTTCCTTCTGTATCCAAACTCAATCTCTCTCCCCTACTGAAAAATCCAAAGCAGTGGTCCTTATACCTGTCACAATGGTCCTGAATAGAGTCTGCTTTACAGTTTAACAAGTGTCATGGATAAATTTTTTTCTATACCAGAGGCAAACCCTGGGCTTATAGTGGTGTTCCAGTCCTTTCTTTCCATATATTCAACATCAAGTTTTGAAAAACAGATTAACTCATATTTGCAGTTCACCCAATGACCTGCCATCCTGAACACCTAAGAGTAATGGCAAAGGGAAATGGCATCTTCCTCCACCACTCCATTCTGGTGGGATAGGGACAGAAGATCCAAGCAGGGGCAGGAGGTCGGGCTGTACACGATGTTTGTGCTCTGGTACTCCTGATATTTCCTTAGGATTCTTTGTAAGTCATCTTCCTTATTAACAGGCTCTTTAGAACAGTCATGGTCTCTTTAGCAGGGGAGGGGAGATCCTTTTATTTTGCAAATGAGGAAATGAGACTCAAAGAAGTCGAATGACTTATTTATGGTCACTAGGGGATTAACTACAGAGAGTTATTAGTTCTGGTGGAACAGAGTGATTAACTCACTGTGCCTTGAGTAAAGTAGCCATGGCTCTTCCCTGGAAAAGTTACACATTAACTCCTCTAAACTTCAGCTTTATCATATGCAAAATGTTGACAACACCTTGCAAGAATCAAGAGAGATGATTTCTATAATGTGAACACAGAGCTTTGTCCATAGGAAGAAACTAAAGGTCGTGACAGTGATGGTGAAGGTGGAGGGTGGTGATGCTGGTGGCAATGACAGTGATGGTGAAGGTGGTGGGTGGTGATGCTGGTGGCAATGACAGTGATGGTGATCCTAAAAAACAGGAATATGAAAGAAAAGGAGTAGCAACAGTGACTGCTACCTGTATTTCTATGATTGAGATAGTTTGAAGAGAACAGTGAACAAAAGTAGGATTCCATTTGAAAAATCTGGGGAGACAGCACTGATAACGCTCTTTAATTACAAAATACAGTCAACCCTCTTTATCCACAGTTTCTGCATCTGTGAGACGACCAACTGAGGACTGAAACTATTTGGAAAAAAAAATTCCAGAACATTCAGAAAAGCAAAACTTGATTTTGTACAGGCAACTAGTTACACAGCATTTACATTATATTTGATGCTATAAGCAATCCATAGATGACTTAAAGTATATGGGAGGATGTGTGTAAACTATATACAAATTCTACACTATTTTATTGAAGGGATTTGAGCATCCACAAATGTTGATATCCTTGGGTGTACTGCGAATGGTCTTAAAACTAATACCCTTCAGATATACCAGATGACAATACTTGCTTTGTACTCGGTGAAATTCAGTCTCTTTGACTGATTTTACTAGACTTCTTTAATGCTAGAATTTCACAACTGCAATTTAATTAATTACCCTAATGTGTGAAAAGAGACCTCATACTTTCGATTATATACCTGGTCAAAGACTAAATCCCACAGCCATGGAATTCTGTTAAATGCTAAACTAAAGAAAGCAGTTCGTATCACTAATAAGCCTCAATGCCCATGGATGACCTTGTTGGTCCTTCTGTGCTGGGTCGGTAAATGCTCCAGGAATCCACACAAACTAGTGTGTCTACCAAGGTTCAAGGCACAAAACAAATGACCTGAAGACTGTACCACAAAACCCAGAACGTACAGGAGTCCAACGGTCTAGCTTGGCAATGAACAAGGGAGCACGCCATGGCAACGAGCATCACGTCAGACGGGAAGGAGCCAGGAAGAACAGGGCTAGGGCTGAGGGAACGCTCACCTGGCTGCAATAATGTTTGATGAGGTTAAACACAAAGCCACGATCCATGAGGGAGAGGAGGTCATACAAGAAGAAAGCCAGGCTGATGTTGATCTTTTCCGCCTGTTCAGTTTCCTTAAAAGACAAGCACATTGATACAAACACCCCCATCATTTGCTAGTAAACCTTGCAGCCCTGGGCGGGGGGAGTTGGGAGAGGCAGGTCCTATCTTTTCAGCCAGTGTCCCTCCGGAAGATACTGAGCAAAGCAGATAACCCTGCAAAACTATAGCAGACACAATTTAGAAACTAATTGATGCCATGAGTGTTGAATGAAGTAATTCCTTATCTACTGTTAATATTTAGGTATATTTGCTTCTAGGTGTTTTTTCCTATGTGCATGTTTATCTGTATATAATTGAGTTTATTCTCTATATATAATAAGGTCCTGAATTTATTCATTCAACATTATATTATGAACACTTTCCAACACTCTGGTTTCTCATATTTCTTAAATTTCTTTATATTGCTTTACTATAATTTGTTTGATTCTGCTAATGACTGTTTTAGCAAAAGTAATTTGAAATGTATTCACTATCTTCAATGAGACAGATTCTTAATTTGAAAGGATTGTTGCAGAAAATGTAATCAGGATTAAAAAAAAATCAGTTTTTACTTAAGAAATTTTTTTCTCCAATTAGACAGCATTCCCAGCCTAAGAGAGGGCAAAGTCATACACAGTAGAGCAACCTCTTACATGAACTGAGGCCAGGGTTTAGTTTTTACTACCTCTCAGTGCTCATATTTATGAGGGATTTTACAGCACTTCAGAGCAATCAGGGATTCACTTTTTCATGTTTATGTCCTTTATTCTCAGAATGATAAATCAATTTGCTCTGAACTATTGAAAATATGATTTGAAATGTTTTCCTCTTGTTATGATGAGCGGTTTGCAAATTCAGGCCAAGCTGACCAGCACTGGCATGGGTGGAGACTTGGTAAAGAAGTTTCCATAGTTACCACGGAGTGGCAAGTCCTCATGCTCTTAGCATCCTCCACATGGACCACTACTTAAGTATCTGTCTGAATATGCTGGGCTTGGAATCTTCTGCCTTGACTTTGCTGCTAGCTGTGTTGACTTTTGGAAAATTTACCAACCTCACTGTGCCTCGTTTTTCATGCCTGCCAAAATGAGACACCACTGCCACTCTCACAAAGTCTGCCATAAGAAATGACCACCTGGAAGCTTCTTCTAAGTACAGAGCAGCATACAAATTCTTCATAATGATAAAGGTATTAACAATGATCATTGCTGCTTCAAATTTTATAGAATTTTTAATTCTGCTTCAAATTTTGGAATTTTGTTTTATTTCATTTTACTTTTTTTTTACTTTCTACTTTGAAATAATTTCAAATTTACAGAAAAGGAGCAAGAATAGTCAAAATAACTCCTCTAATTAGACTCATCAGTGCTGGATATTTCACTACATTTATCATTCTCTCTTCATGTTCAATTTTTTTTTCTGAACCATCTGAGAGCAGGATTATAAATATCATAAAACTTCAGGGCATATTTGCTAAGAACAAAAATATTTCCTCTCATAGTGTGTTGATACAATAATTTAAACAGCTTTAATTCCACATTATAATTTCATTTTGTACAAGCTCCATTCGGCTTGCGGGATCTCAGTTCCACAACCAGGGATTGAACCCGGGCCCTTGACAGTGAAAGCCCAGAGTCTTAACCACTGGACCACCAGGGAATTCCCCACATTGTAATTTTTGATAGCAATGCCCCAGCCCCACCACAGGGTGCTGTCCAGTATAACAAAGTGAATTTAGTTGTCATGTACAGTTAGTTACATTTTAATTACTGTCTTAAGATGATGCTTATTTTTCTTTGATTATGAAAATAATATATGCCCAGGGTAAAAAATTTCAGACCGTAAAGAGTAAAATGACACAGTTACCTTCTGAGGTTTTACTAAAAGGGCTGCAATCTCCGAGGTGACCACATTAACAATAGTAGTTATGTCATCTTTGAAACGGTCAGAAAAACGAGTCCTCCGAAAATTGTCCCGCTTGTCCATGTTATGTACATACTGGGCCATGCTTTTCACCTACAGAGAAGATGGGGGGAAATGTCAACATGGAAACTGGTGACCTGCTTGTACACTATGGAAAAAGGGAAAAGCCTGGGAGAAAAGTTCATTAACAATGGACTTTCTAACACTTTATCTGTGCTGGTGGTTGGTTGTCCATGCAGGCTCTGGTCTGAAAATTGCTCCTGACACCCTGATGGTTACCATGGCAGCAGGAGATGGGAAGAGTGCCCTCTTCCTGACCCCAAGTCAGGGGGTTCCCTTCTTGATGCTGACAAAGCCAGGAAGCTTAATTCTTCAGCTGCAGTGTCACAAGACTCCCCTCCTCTCAACTGGGAAGGCAGACCTGGACTGCGCCCTGCCATGAGGACTGCAGCACCGTTCTATCATGGCACACAACTTTACAGGAAAGGGAACTGTTTATGAGACTGTTTTTGATGTAAACTGAAATCATTTCTGTCTCTGAAACTACAGTGAGAAGAAGAGAGAAATGTCCCTCTTATGTCAGCTTCAAGTAGAACGGGAGAAGAGTTTTTCCAAAAGCAACTCTATAGTATGCAGGCTGGAAACTTAACACTATTTGGAACATTGTCTCTAGGAGAAATTATGTTGTGAGTTTTATAAAACTAGCTTGCTAAATACACATATATACATATGTAAATATTTATATAACTACATATTTAAAATACATATTTAATATATATGTAGTTTAAATAAAAACCTATATATCAATCAGTGATAGCCTGCATTATGACTAGGACAACAGCAACTCATTGCCTACCACAATTTTAAATCAACATCATGCTTATTTTTTTTGGACTTCTTCCTGGGCCAGGAGATTCCTGGGTCAATACAGTCCCTTTGATAGAGTCTGAGGTTGTATCCTGTCCTTGTTGGAAACTCTTAGAGCTATCAGAAACAGTTGGATGGGCAAGGCTGGGAGATGGTATGGTTGGGTGTCTACCCCTTCTATAAATGTGTCCATGATAGTCTGAGAGACACTGCAAAAAGAAACGGCCCTGGAACGTTAAACTGCCTACACTTGCCTGAAGGTGACCTTCTAGGTCAGGACTGGAAGGAGAGGGGACAAAGACAGTATACGGGAAAATGATTTTCACTCCTAAGAGTGCTGGGCTTCCCTGGTGGCTCAGATGGTGAAGAATCTGCCTGCAGTGCAGGATATCTGGGTATGAACCTTGGGTTGGGAAGATCTCTTGGAGAAGGGAATGGCTAACCCACTACGGTATTCTCATCTAGAGAATTCTACGGACAGAGGAGCCTGGTGGGCTACAGGCTATGGGGCTGCAAAGAGTCGGACATGACTGAATGATTAACACTTTCACCTTTCTAGGAGCTCTAATAGCAGATTTCTATTTCTAAGAATCCAGGGCTGGCAACTTTCTTTAGTACTGAGATAAACAAAGATTTAAAAAAAAGAAACAAACAAACAATTAAAAAAAAAAAAACAAAGAAAAGGTAAACTAAGAAGCGAAAACAGACAGATAGGTAAATGTGTTTTATGTTTTAAGACAATGCCTTGGCCAGCTTGGGGAAGACCTAAAAATCTAAAATCCTAAAGCCCAGGGTGAGAACCCTAGTTTCTTTTCACAGTAGAGTCCTTTTTGGCTCAGGACACAGGGATGTGTCTGTACCCCATAGAGTCACAAATCCTCAGTGGAGGACCTGAATGAGAGGCAGGAACTGGACGTGGTATTTGTCCCACAAAGTACTTCTCTCGTGCTATGATCCTAAGGACCGAGGAAGACAAGCCCCTTTGTTTGGGGCTACCTGCTCCTGATTCCCCACTGCCTAACCCACCCCAGTACTGGGTTTTTAGAACGCACTGTTGTGTTTGGCTCTTGCCTGCTGAGTTTGGGCATTCTACAACTAAATATGTAAAACTCACAATAACATACTTCCAACTAATGCCTTCCTGCCAGACTGTCAGCTACTTGCCTACTACTGTGTCATTTGCATCTCCAGAAAGAAACACACATTAGAAATAGTAGTGGATTCTTGGTCATTATTTGTGTGGTTTAAGTGTGGGTTAAAGTGGGTTAAGTGTGGGTTAAGGTGTAGGTTAAGGCAGGAAAATATTTTCCTCCATAAGGGCCTCTGTGACCCATTCAAAGCAGGGCTACTAAGAAACCCTTGGTGTAGACTTCAGGGTAAAGTGGGTCACCATTTACCTCTGTGTCCCCAAAGTCTGGCTCAGCAGTTTCTAGAAGCATGAGGGTTTATTCATTAGCAACTGTGAAATCTGCCCAAGGACTGTTTTCAACAGCTCTGATGATGCCAAAGTGGTTGTTCATTAGCACGTGGGCATTAATGCAACTAAAGGGTGTTAAATTGCCTAGGTAGTTGGTTAAACCCAAGGAGGCTGTAGTTCCTTTCTCTTCAAGCTCCTTGGGAAAACGGCTGTTTTGGTGTTGAAACACCTTTTCAGGCATCTGTAAGGCAACTGCATAAGCAATGTGTGGAGGACTGGGCACCCAGTCTGAATCCAAGATCAGTTTCCTTGCAAAGTCTGGCTGGGGCTGTGACTTTTCCATCTGCCTCCATCCTAGCTTCCAGCTCCTCTTCTTGCCCTTTTTTATCTATCTCTGAGCCCTAGGAAGCTGATCTCTACAGACTACATCATTCAGGACTCCTTGAACTTGGGCTTCTGGTTGGAGCTGGCCAATAGGAGGCTCCATCAGGGGACCAGTGGGCAGGAGAAGAGAATGGTTCAGGTACATGCCTGGATTCATGCCTGGGCAGCGTGCTTCTGGCAGCGGCACTGTTTTTCTTTGATGTCAGCTCCTGTCATGCGGACCCTGTTCTCTGCCTCAGCTTTCTCTCGGCCTTGATTATACTGCTCCTTACCCCAGCTTCCAGCACCTCCTGCTCCCTGGGTGTCTCACCAACCCTCCTCTACTCCTGTAATCCTGCACATACCCTGGGCAAAGTCCCTTTGATAAATGCTTTTCAGGTAACCCTTTTGAGCAATGCTGTACTGCCAGAACCCTGACAGTCTTGGTTATAACCTACAGAGCCCTAGATAACTGATGCCCTAGGAGATCTACATGTTGACCAACCCCCTCCAAGTGCTCATCTCAGCAGGACTTTCTTTCCAGCTTCTAATCTGTTTACCATAAGGGACTCCTAGAGGAAAGAATCCTATCAGCTTTAACTTTTGCTTTCTTTCCTGAGCCTACTGAGTCCTAGTAAATAAATGTGCAAGATCAAAAGCAATTTTCAGCTTTTCCACGGTTCTCAGCTCCCTGCAGTTAGGGAGTTAGGGGCACTGAAGTGGGACTGACAAGGTTTGGTGGGCCCACAAACTTCTCCTTATGGCCTTCAAACTTCCTCCTTATGGCCTTTTCATTGTAAACTGGGGACAACGAAAAGCTCCTGTCTGGAGGCTGTCAGAGGATTCAACAAGATAATGCTCACAAGGCATTGTGCCCGGCATGTACGTAGTTAGGTGCTCAACACATTTTAGATGTTATTATTCTTCCTCCCTTGGGGACACCAGCTGTTACTGGGACTATATGAAGGACAGAGTCATCATTACATCTGCAGAGAATGCAAACTCGCTTCAGAAAGAGAGCTCTAAGATGTCACAAGGAGCCATTCAGGCCTAGCAAAGCTGAGTTCATTGCACTGTGAATGGGATAGTAATTGCGGCACTGCATTAAAGCTGACTTCAGAATACAAAGTTTTCACATGTTATTAATACATTAGGCTAAGAAAATGTTTTGTAACTTTAAGCTTCCAAGGAGAAGCAAAATCACAGAGGAACAGAACTTGAACGAGAGCACTGTGGAACTGAGGCTCTGTTCCTGCTGAGAGGGCTGGGCAAACCCCTGATTAGCCTTGGGGTCTTGTGTGTGCACTGGGGATAACTGCTCATGATAAGCTGATAATTTACAACTATTAAATGAGATCTAAGAATGATTAAGTGACATGTGTGCATATGTGTGAGTAAATAACATGAAATATTTTTTTGGGCTTCACCATGAAGCTTGCAGGAGCTTAATTACCCAACCAGGCATTGAACCCAGGCCACAAAAGTGAAAGCTCAGAGTCCTGACCACTGGACCGCCAGGGAATTCCCAACATGAAACATCTTTGAATTGAGATACTGCTTTTCTTTGGGACTCTCTCCTAAATGAAAAATCTGTTAGTTGCTCAGTTGTGTCTGACTCTTTGTGACTTCATGGACTGTAGCCCGCCAGGCTCCTCTGTCCATGGAATTCTCCAGGCAAGAATACTGAAGTGGTATTCCCTTCTCCAGGGGATCTTCCCTTCTCCCAGGGATTCAACCTGGGTCTCCTGCATTGTAGGCAGATTCTTTACCATCTGAGCCGTCAGGGAGATTCTATAATATCAAAATGAGCTTTTGCTTCATGTCTTTCAAAATTTGCAATATGGAAGATCAACTCAGTTTAAGATTATTTGTATGAATTATATATAGATGAATTATAAGCTGAGTAAATCTTTATGGAGAAACTCGATGGTTAGTGGGATGAGTTCAAAGAAGCAGGATGTACTGGGCATGGAGGGGTGGTTTTAATTCTTTTCTTCCCTCCAGAGTTTATGGCCAGCCTTTTCCTGCCAAAGCACAAAACTTGCGTCTCACTGCTAATGTTGCTGCTCCAAGATGTGTGAGCTGCAGCCATCCACCTGAATCTGCTCGGCTTTTAGAATACAAACTCCTGGCGCTAGTTGCACACAAAGACCCTTAGCTCCGTTTGGTCCTCACAGAGCAGAGGCAGCCTGCACTAGCGGGTCTCCAGTGTGCCTGGAAGGCGCTTGGGCAGACTCCCCGCTTGGAAGGCACTTGGGCAGACTCCTCGCCTGGAAGGCGCTTGCACCACTGGCTCCCTGTTCCTCATGCACTCAGTATTCTAGGGAGGGGTCCAGATCTGTGTGATTCTCTTTAAGCACCCACAGGTGATTCTGCTGCAGGCACCTGGCATTGTGCTCTGAAAAGACATCTCTAGCAATACTTTCTTCCAGTGAGGGGTGGGAAACTGGTGGAACTCTAAGGCGGGGCAGGGATCCCCAACCTCTGGGACCTAATGCCTGATGATCTGAGGTGGAGCTGATGTGATAATGACAGAAACAACGTGCACAGTAAGTGTAATGCACTTGAATCATCCTGAAACCACCTCCCTTCACCCCTGGTCCATGGAAAAACTGACTTCCACAAAACTGGTCCCTGGCGCCAAAAAGGCTGAGGACTGCTGCTCTGGCGGATTTGAACCCTTGATGTGCTTCTGCTGCAGGGGCCTGACTTCTTTTCAACTCTACTGCACATCACTTTTCATTTCCTCAACAGTGTGTGCTTTATTTTTGTTCCCTTTGACCCTCTTGTTCTCTACGTCCTGTTCCATGTCCATAGAGAAAACATGTCTTGTTCTCTATGTTCAGTATTGTTCTCTTTCACCTGGGCTTGAACTTACATAGATAAACTAGAGCTCAGGTGAAAATCCTACCATCTTTCTCTTAAAGAAAATTATCCACTTAAAAACAGTGTCACAGAGGAAAAACATCCAGTCAATGTGAAGCTAACGCTATTACTAAATTTCAATCCCCTCTTTATCCTCTGGATTGTCTGTGTGTGTATTTTTGTGTAGTTAGTGTCTGTGTTTCCATACTTTTTCATTTAAGCTCATTTCACAATGCATCTCCATTAATAAACATTGACAAAATGCTTATTCTAGTGGCTTTACGGTAAAATCCTTTCACTTCCAGTATAAAATAGGTATTAATATTATTCTCTTCATTTTTAAATTAAAGAATATGTTATACCTTTTGATTTTCTGCTAGAGAACAGATAGAAGTTGCAGGTAAACATATCTACAAGTTTCATTTTTTCCCTCAATGAGTATTAGTTGGTGCTTGTATGATGTCAAGCCATGTTCTGCAGCTAAAGGTAGAATAATGAAGAAGATAGACCCAAATCCTAAAAATCCAATAGGCAAGAGAGAAAAACAAATCATGATAAGCAATAAGAAGGAAATAAAGAGGGTGTTTAAAAAGAGAGGAATAGAGTGGTAGACATATTAAGGTATGAGGAAGTTAGCAAAGGCATCTAAGAGGTGGTGACATAAAAGCTGAGACCTAAAGAGAAGATCCCCCCTGCCTGCCGGCCTCCAAAGTGTGTATGTGTGCAGGAAACAGACAAAACGAAAGGTAGGGAGTGGGGAGAGCATCTTAAAAAGGCTCTGAGACTGAAAAAGCCTCAGCATCCCCAAAGGACCAAACTGGAAACAATGTGGCTGAATGAGGCAGGGAATGGTCTTAAGACAAGTTTAGAGAGGATGGGAAACAGAATCATCCAAGGGCTTTTAGGCCGTGAGAAAAACGTGTGCTTTATTGCCAGTACTCTGAAAATCACTGAAAGGTTTTAAAGAGAAAAGTGTCATTATCTGGTAACATTGAGTTGCCCTATACAGACTGGATGGGCAGAGGGTAAAAATGAGCTTATGTGGGCAAAGAGGAGGTGACTGCAGGCATGATGGCAGCTTGACCAGACGGGGAGTGGTAAAGATGGTGAGATGTGGCAGGTGCAGGTATATTTTCAAAGCAGAATCAGTAAAACTTGGTGGAAGGTGGATGAAAGGGTAAGGCAGAGTTAACACTGAAGGACTGAGCCCAGGTTTTCTGCAGGAGCAGCTCAGTAGAGAAGATGTCAGTTCCTATGACACTGAACCTCACTGTCTGTCTAAATGCGCTGTTTGTGCCCTGCTGAACACAGATATACACGTGCAAGAATCTTACCAGAAGCTCAAAGAAGAACCAGGAGTACTTGAAGACTGTTTCTTTCACCATTCCAGTGCTGACCACCATCTGTAGGGCAAGCTCCTCATGGAAATGCTGGACAACAAACACAAAAACATTACATGTATGTAATGACAGTCTGTATTAGGTGTTTTATTTGCCAATTTTTCTTTTTTCCCAATTGTAATAGTCTGTTAGTACTGATGCATGTGTCCCAGATGTCTTAGACCACAGTGGATGGCAAAGTCAGTGCTGAAATAATTTGAGACTGGAGGGCATTTTAAGCAGGCAGAAGGCTGGTGGTGGTACTGTACTAGAGAGCTAGATTGGAAGGAATGGCCTCATCAGGGAAATGACCCTATGGGGGAAGCATTCATGGGCAGCAGTTGGAACTGGGACTGTTATCTTCCTCCCAGGTTCCACTGTAAACCCTCTGCATGACCATGTGTAAACCATTCCTCTCCTGACCCTCAGTTTTCTCATATATAAACTCGATTGGTAGCAGTGGTTCTCAAACTGAAATGTGCATCAGATTCCCCTGGAGGGCTTGCTAAGAAACAGATTGCTGAGCCCAGCTCCAGCATTTCAGATTCAGCAGGTCTGGAATGGGGCCTGAGGTTATGTGCTGGTCCAGGAACCTCGATTAGAGAAACACTGTTAAGACGGTAACTCCACTCCTTCCAGAGAGAACAATTTTTGTTTTTATAATCTGTCTATGGCTTTGAGGGAAATGAGAAGAGTTCAGTTTATGAGTAGTGGTGGTTAAGTCACTAAGTTGTGTCCAGTTCTTGTGACCCCATGGACTGTAGCCCACCAGGCACCTCTGTCCATGAGATTCTCTAGGCAAGAACACCGGAGTGGGTTGCCATTTCCTTCTCCAGAGGATCTTCCTGACCCAGGAATTGAACCTGGGTTTCCTGCACTGCAGGCAGAGCTACAAGGGAAGTCTTATTAGTAGATCATCTGTGTTAAAAGGTATAGAGGTAGCAGCTTGAACTCTCTCAGTTTCTAAACTTCTGTGTCCCAGGGTCTGATGCTCCACTTTATGTCTACACTTCTCACCAAGTCATGAGACTGCTCATCTGATTGCAAATGTGCAGTGATTTTTTATACCTTTTGCATCTTCCCTATTCCCTAGTTTATCTGGATACTTGTTAATACTCTTGACAACAGCTTTGATGTTGAACAAGGTTAACACTGTAGGTGAGGCAATCAACCCATGTCAGTTTGCCTGTCATTTCACTAAGCCACAAATGTTTCCAGGCCATCAAGCCATCAGTCACTATGATGGAGCAAACAGTGCACCCTGAGGGGAACTCAGGACGGAAAAAGACAGGATACTGGCCCTAGATAGTAAAGGTGCATATCTAAGGAATAATTTCAATGAGCCCAGGCTCTTGTATCTTCCCATATATAGAAAAACACTAAAATCATTGACTCAAGATGTCTGGTTTTTGTGAACATCTTTTGATATGCAACCACATGTTTTTGTTTTCTTCCCCAGTAAAACCTCCTATAAATCCTGGCTCTTTCCTTGACTCTTTGAAATAGTCCCTCAGAGATAACTGAGAGACTTTTCCAAGCTACAGTCCTCAATAACGTCCCCCAATAAAACATAACTCTCAAATTTTAGGTTGTGGTTTTTTTTTGTTTTTTTTTTACCAATCAACACTGTCCTGGCCTTAAAATGGAAAGCCCTACACCTGAAGGACCCCCTAAGACCCAGGAAAACTGGGGTAGCTGGTTACTCTGATGGCAAAAATGACATCTGAGCATTTTCTGTGGATTTCATTTATCTTACAACCATGAAATGTAGAATAAATACAGATGAACTCATTTTTTTTATTGCTCAGTGGGTAAGAAAGCTGAAACTACTTGAATACCCTAATATTACATCCTAGGGTAATGGCATATGTGAAAATAAAGTTTTAAAGTCAAGACTCAAAGTAAAAACTGATTACAGCAAAGCTTACCCTTGATAAACCTTTAAATCACCCACACTGTACAATAGGTATGCAACACAATTTACTGATTCTTAAGTACAGTAAAATTGGAGAGTTACTAAGATAAACTAAAAGGAGACAAACAGAAAGTTCTCTGTGTATGTCTGGGTATTTGAACTGGTGACATCCCTGGATGGTTAATGGGGACAAATGGAGAATGCTGAAGTGTTTCTGCTTGTCATTGGTCCCACTTCATTCTGTTGAGTGAGTCAAACCTTTACAATTTTAATACATGTGAAAATATGTGTGTGCTGTTGTGAGACTTCAGGGAAATTCCTTCTCTTGGGAGAGGTGCAGGGCTGCATGTTAATCTAGCAGGTGGTCTTCTAAGCTCGCCTGTGATTTAACTCGGCTACACCCAGATCTTCCCATTGTAAGAAAGAGACGCTCCATGAGCTTCAAAGGTAACCTCTGGAAAATAGGTCAGTTTGACCGCCAGAGTCTTATGGCAAGAGGAGATTAGAGGATGATAAGCTGCTTCTTAAAGTAATTTATGTTGCTTACCAGGCAACATTATTACAAGAACACCTTGCTCTGGAGGTTACGGAAAATAGCCAAGCAGCTAAACCCTGTTTGCTGAGCACCTAAGGAGACACACTGGCTAGACCGCCCCCTGAAATGAAATGATTCTCTTCTGGTCATTGAAATGACCAGAAACAAAATAAAAACAAATTAGTTGCTCCCAGAAGAAATCAGGCCCTGCCTGAAGAAAACAGGCTGTTGGCAAACTATAGTCCTTAAGAAGGAAAACAGACTTGTAACCAGTCCCCGCAAAGCCCAAAGCTAAGATATAGAGTAAGTGACACATTTATTTGCAACACTTCATACATCTTCTTTCACTTCTCCTTTTAGAATTAACTCCTGGCACCTCTTTCCAGACAAGCAGGGCCCAGATTTGTGCCAAGTCTGCAGCACCGGACCTTCCAGGGCCTCCCCAGGCCTGATCTTTCCCTCACCAAAGTGAGGGAAAGTGAGCTGTGCTGAGGCTCATTCCCTTGGGGCCTGTTGAATACACCTATTTCCCTGTTAGCTTCTGCAAAGAGTTTCCTGTATTAGCCTTCCAATCAGCATGCAGATGCCGCTGCTGCTGCTAAGTCACTTCAGTTGTGTCCAACTCTGTGCGACCCCATAGACAGCAGGCCACCAGGCTCCCCCGTCCCTGGGATTCTCCAGGCAACATGTTTACATTTTAATAAGGGACTTGAAAGACACTCAAGACATTAACTTAAGTAGCGACTAAATTGGTGAGACCCTTGGATACTAGGCAGAGGTGAAAACTTGGGGCAGACAGGGTTGTTTTTTTTTTTTTAATTCCCCATCCTTAGATCACACAACATGTGACAAGTGGAGAATTCTATTAACGTAAAGAGACCTGGTGAGCGGTTTAACAGCTTGTCAAGTCTCTGAATGCATAGGTAAGGCTGATTAGAAAGAATTACAAGGAAGCTTTTCATGTCTGATATAGTATTGAAATGCTCATGCTCAGTCATGTCTGATTCTTTGTGACTCTATGGACTATAGCCTGCCAGCCTTCTCTGTCCATGGGATTTTCCCGGCAAGAATACTGGAGTGGGTTGCCACTGAAATAAATGATACCTAGTTACTGCCTTCACTGTGTTGAGGATGAATTGTCCCCAGTTCTCTTTTTACTAAAAAAGAAGCTAACACAGTATGGTTCCTGGACTAGCATCAGCTGGGAACTTGTCAGAAATGTAAACCCTTGGGCCCTACTTTAGATCTACTGAATCAGAAACTCTAGGGGCCAGCAGTCAGTTTTAACACAAACCACCCAATTACTTCTGATGCACAGTAAGTTGGAGAACCACTGAGTTAGGAGGTGGTCAAAAAATGGGGGATCTGGAACAGGGCTGCCAAAGTGTGTGTGCGTGTATGTGTGTGCGTGTGTGTGTGTGTGTGTGGTGTGGCGTGTGTGTGTCTTTGGTGTGTACATTAGAAGGGCAGGAACAAGGAAGGACAGTACTATTTTCAATAACAGTAAGAAGGTGGGCAACGTATCCTCACACAGCCCTGTTCGGTACCTTTTTGCTGACTGGCCTGGGGGCTGTTGTTGAACTTGGAGCATCACTATTGCTGGAGCAATAGTAAGACATCCGGTTGCAGCTGCGATCAGCAATCTGAAATACACAAACCAGGATTCCACAGTCAACCCACAGTGGTCCCTAGAAAGATGAACCAATGGCTTGGAAATCACAAGCTTAGAATTCATTGTTAATGTATTTTTTTTTTTCTGGTTACAAAGGTAAAACAATTGCCAAAAATTAACGTAAAACAAAGCAAATAAGGTAAAGTATACCTAATTCTACTTGCTTCTAAGATATTCACTGTTAGCTGGTATGGAGCCACCTAGAGTCACATCCTAGTTAAGAACCACAGGATGCTAAACATTCCCTCCCTTCAACTAAGTCTCTGACTTAACTGGAAGAGAAGGGGGAAAAAAATGTATGGGAACAGTGCCTCTCTGTGGGTTAACATGGTACTGTTCCCAGTCTCCTCTACCCTATTTAATAATTTGTCAAAAAAAAACCACTTCTGAAAGGAAGATCAGGCTTGATTCTTCTAGACAAAATTTTTTCCCCTCACTACCAAATAATTAAAAAATTGTTAACCCAGTCCATAGAGAAATTTAAAATCTTCACTTTCATTAAAGGAAACTGTAAAAATCAAATCTGTCAGTAATAGCTGCTATCCACTTCTCCCCTAGGCAATCTGAAATGATAATGCCTAAAGGGGACTTAGATGTGAAACTGAACCACGGGGTGCTGGCAAATGCTGAACAACCAGCTCTCAGAGGGGAGGGGCTGATCTGTAGAATTTGCCAATTCCTGTGCTGTGAATGCTTCCATCATGCCTGACTTCAAGTTAACATGACATTACTGAATATGGTGTTGGGAAGAGATATGCAGTAGCAAACCGACTATATAGTATTTCCACTGCACAGAAACAACAGACATAAATAACCTCGAGAATACAGATAACAATAAAATGCAGTAAAATACTTAGGAAGGGATGAGATTTGAGTACTCCCTTGTAAAAATGAAAAATTTCAGATTTATGGACAAGTTGCCGAATTTGCAGAGAAAGTTCTTGGACACCCTTCGCCAAATTCCTCTTATGTTAACATCTTACATAACTATGGTAGATTTGTCAAAATTAAGAGATTAGCACTGCACATTAACTGTTAACTAAAGCATAGGTTTTATTCAGATTTCACCAGTTTTTCCACTTGTGTCCTGTTCTGTTTCAGCAGACCACAATGCATTTAGATAACCTTTGTTTTTCATATAACTTATGTGTTAACTGATTTAATTTAACTTTTAATAATGTCTGTGTTTAACGACAGGTTCAGAAAATTCCTGGAAATTTAGCAATCAATTCTCAGAAACTGGTATGAACCAGCTCCAGTACATCCTTGCATTTATTCAGTAAACCAAAAAGGGTATTTCACATGATTTCATATGATATAACCTATATATCATCAGAATCTCTAGGAGTGGATCTATAGATGATTCTTACATTCATCAGGGTTCAGAACCTCTGCAGAAACAAGGAAAATCAGGCTCAGGGCAGGAGCAGACTTGCCCATGACCACAGGCCTGAGTGCAATCAGATCAAGACCCAACCCTGGTCTCCAGATTTCCTGTCTCACAACATACTGTCTTAAGTGGGTGTCTCAAGGGAAATGATGTCAAAACCTAAAGAGTTTGATTTGCCTTCATCACAGAAAATGACTTTATTCTAAAAGATTAGGCACCCTGTGGTCACAGATAACTGAAAAGAAAATTAGATTAAGAATTCATGGTAGTTTTGTACATATATGAAAAACCATTGAATTATACATTTTAACAGGGTGAATTTTTTAGTATGTGAACTGTATCACAATTAAAACAAATTTCAAATGAGAGGCTTTCTACAAAATACCTGACCGTATGCCTGGAAACTGTCAAAGTCCTCAAAAACAAAGAAAATCTAAGAAAGTGTCATAACCTAAAGGAGCTAAGGAGATATCACTACAAAATATAATGTGGTATTCTGGGTGGGATAGAATAGAATAGAAACAATATATTCAGGAAAAACTGAGAATATATGAATAAAATATAAATTTTAGTTAATAATATGTTACATTTGGTTCATTAATTGTGACAAATGTGCTATTTTAATGTAAAATATTAATAACTGGAAAACTATTGAGCACACAAAAATTTTCAGTTATATATAGGTGTAATTCTATACATCCAAAACTTTTATAAAATAAAAAGTTTATGAAAAAAATTAAGAATTCATGAAAGGAAAACAATCTAGGGCAAGTCACCAACCCTCTCAAGATCTCAATTTTTGTTTACAAAACTTGGCTTTGATCTTTGGGGTTCTTACACAGGATAATCAATCTATGGATGTTAACAAATCTAAAAGGCAGGTATTAAAAAATAAAACAAAACAAAATGAAAAAACCCTATCTAGGCATCAAAAGCCATTAAAGCTAATTTTTTCACCTGAAAATAAAACTCAAGGTATAAGAAACTTCCCACCAAAGTCCACTAACTCTGCTCAGACCCCCAAATGCCAGTCTTGCCTTTACATCTTTCAGAATGGTCTCAGTAATTTCAAAATAAAAGAATTTTAATAACTTCAAAGCTGTGCATTTGACCAAGGCAGTAGGCAGCAGGAGTGCCTGATTTCGTGTTGTCTCTCCAAGTGTTAGTCAGAAATTAAATAGCCCACCTCTCTATCCAGGGTTTGACACCTGCCTTACCTTTGAAGACATAATGTTCTTAACTTCCTCATCTGCGGCACAGTGCGTCCCCGCGAGGTCTGGGTTACTGCTGCTCATCACCCGGGCCTGTAGCAGCTTCGAACTCACAGCCGCAGCAGATGTGCGTCCATACGTGTGGTAGCGAGGGTCCGGGAGGACCGCGGGGCCGCCTGCAACCCACCAGGTACAGACATGTCAACAGAAAGGGATCAGAGACACGTACTGGATTTGAGAAGGAACCAAGGAGGGATGCGGTAGATAGTAGAGCAGACACTCACCAGATTAGGTCTTGGAATTAGGGTCTTATTAGCAAATGCCTAAGGGAGACAATTTTGGGGGGAAAGATAGGGTGGAAGGCGGTAGGGAGGGGTGAGGACTGTGGTAAACTGCAAGCACATGTCTCATCCAAAGACAAGGGCTGCTCCTCAGCTCTAGCTCATTACTTCTCAAGACAAGCTGGAAATGTGGGTATTTTTATTTATTAATATTTAAATGGTGACAGCTTTATAAGTCTTGCATTTCTGAGATTTGAGAATCCAAAGAACCCTCCGAGCCTTATGAGAATATGAATATACTACATATAGAAATGTGTTTCACCTTTAAGTATTTACATTTGTTCAAAGGTGATTATGTAAGTCTAAGAATATTACAAGTATTTTAAAAAACATTTGAAATTATAGGTTTACTTAAAATGAGGCTACATGGACTAATAAACATGCCAAGTTCCTTTGTTAGGGCCTAGAATTTTGTTAACGGATTGATGCTACTTTTCATATCATGCTGACCAGATGTTCTGATTGAGTGGAGAAATGAATTATTATTATTTCAGTTTAGTTTGGGAGGAAATGAGAAAAGGGATTTATTTTTTTCATAATGTAAAGTTTAGGAGCCACTGCTTACCACTGCTATCAAAGACATATTTTTTCCTTATCATTAATCTCCTAGAATCTTATGCATCTGTTGTTACTTCCCTAGCTCTTACAAAAAGATTCTCAGCTGGGTTAGAAATTACCAACTGGGTAAAGATCAGTGACGGATTATCAAACAAGCAGAAAAAAAATAAGTGCTCAGAGTACAAAAAAAGAGGAGGAAGGCTGATAGAAAGCAAGACAGAAAAATCTAGAAACAAACTTGCAATTTCAACATTCATGTAAGTTTCTCTCACTCTGAAAAATAAAATGTAACTTCCGGGCTTCTAGTTTTATTTTGAATCCTGCAGCAGTGCGGTGGGGGTGGCGGTACCTGACTTGGGCATGTCTCTCTGCGGCTCCGGCAGGCGGAAGACATAGTGCACGTAAGAGGCCAGCAGGCAGTTTCTTCCATGCTGGTCCTTGCCCAGGCCCTTGCTGTTGTGCAGACTGTTGGCGGTGACCACCACGGACTCGAAGGCAAACTGAGAGAAGTTGGCTGAGGAACCAAGAGAAAAATGGGTGGCCCCACAGTGGGTCCTTGATGAACTTGAGGTGGAACATTCTTTGGGGGCAGGGACAAGGAGTCCTGGCCACTGACCAGCTGAACCAGGCCAGTCAAGATGGTGGCCTGGGGCAGGGTGAGTTGTTCTAGTATATTCCAGCATGTGGCTCTGCTACTGCAAAGGACTTCACATCTCTCCTGCCAGTGCTGTGGTTTTTCAGGACAAAGATGCAAGCGTGTCCAGATAGCCTCCCCTCTGGAAACCATGCAGTAAATGAGTGCTACTCAGTGGGGACTGCCCTGACACCATCAGTATCATCTAGGATCCTGTTAGAAGTGTAGAATATCAGGCTCCACCCCAGACCTACTGAGTCAGAACTGGCATTTTGACAAGATGCCCAGGTCATTCTTAAGCACACTCTGGTTTGAGATGGGCTGTTGCGAAACACAGATTCTTGGTACACAGATTAACCTAAAAACTTACGTGTATTTTGTCACTCCCTGGGCCTGTACAAACAATGCTTCACTGTATAGGCTCTGGGTTTAGGAGCCCAAGCCCTCCACAATTTGACTCCACCCTACTTATTCCACCTAGTACCCTTTCCTGTTCAAATTCAACTTCCTTAAAATAAGGCAGTCTTTATATTGTCCTCATCACAACTGCTTCTCACTTCTGCAATTTTGCTTATGCTGTTGCCCTCACTTAGAAAGCCCACGTTGCTCCCACCAACAAAACCATACCTACTCTTCAATGCTTGGCACAATCCCATCTCCTCAAGGAAATCTCTGACACCACTCGGTCCCGGGCTTAATTGACACCATAGCACAAGGTTCTTAGACTATTTCCAGTGGCAAACTCTGTCTCTCTGATAGGCTGGAAGCCTTTCTAGGGCAAAGTGCATTTCTCATACTTTGCTGTCTCCCCGCTATGCCTTCTATTATGCCTGACACAGATGAGTTCTGAATAAATACTTTGAGAATAAGCGCCTCCAACTATTCTGCCTGATTCAACACTCTAGAGTCCGAAATGTCAGCTCAAAATGTGTGTATGAATGTTTTGTCTAGCGAATGCGTCCATAGCTGGGGATGGCCTACAAAGTAGTGTACCAAACGTGGGGGAGGAAAGTAGAAAGAAATCCAGGGAAGGAAGACATGGCCACTCCACAGGAATCTAGCTGGAGAGGCACCAGCTACATGTATGAGAAGTTACCTGACAACACAGGATGCCTTGTCCGTGCAGGCATGGACGATGCCCTCCAGGATACAATACACCCAGGGATTCAGAGGTCATGCTCTTCCCTAGCTCTGAAAGTTCCCCTGTATGTCCCATGCTACACGTTCATTACTCCCTCCCCACCAACTTAATCCTATTACATGGGCCGGTAGTGTTATTTTCTTCTCTAATGACACTCCCAGAAAAGTGTATTTTGATACTTTTTTCTGAACCGCTGGTTTTGGTGAGCCAGACACTCTGGTTCTCTGCTTTTGCCAATCTCATCTCATCTCACTGTTCCCAGTTTGGCTTCTTTCCTTTTATCCCTCCTTTAAAGCCATCCTAAACTCAGTCTTCTTGGGGGCTCCTTCTTCCTCCCAAATTGATACTCACTATCCCCCCTGAAAATATTTAGCTGTGTTCCTTCGAGGACTTGGGTCCTGTGCCGCTGCTCCTCGCTGTATTTTACTGCAAGTCCTATTGATTATTACTGCAAAACCTACAACTCTAAGCACAGTACTGGAAGCATGGAGGATACCCAAAGGTAACTGCTAAGCTGGAAAGCACAAAATAATACAAGCCCTGCTGAAAACAGTGGCAAACAAAGATGCCTACAGAAGCCAGTCTATTTCTGAAGCAGTTAGAGAAGCCACTGGACCCAGGCACTACCTCATGTTATTTCCAAAGGAAGTCTTGCACATTGTACTTAGGGTTCATTTGTTAAAAGTAAGCATTTAAGATGAGCAGTTGCCATGGCTGAGGGGAGGGGAGGATGGGGTGACTGCTCAGGAGTATGGGGTTTCATTTGAGGCTGATGAAAATGGCCTGGAATTAGGTAGTGGTGATAGTTGCATTACCTAGTGAATATACTAAAAACCACTGAATTGTGCACTGTAGTGAATTTTATGGTATGACATTATATCTCAATAAAAAATGGATCACAACACACTGAATTTCAATTTACAGTGTTCCTTTACTTCCATTTAATCTGGGTTATCTCATTTCTTTAAAACACTGGATTCCCTTGTTGTCAAATCAGCAAAAATATTTCAGAGATAAAAGGAATCCATCAATTACTGTGGGTGTGCTCAGCTGGGTCTGATTCTTTGTGACCCCATGGACTACAGCCCACCAGGCTCNCCATTTATATGTCAATAGCCCTGCAGTCCTCAGAGACCATTTCTTGCCTTAAAATCGTGAGGGAATTGTCATCTTACATCACTGAGGGAAGAGGGGCTACGCTCACCCAGCCATGTGAGCGCAGGCTTTGTGTCTCTTGCATCTTAACAAAAGGGTGCATGCTCTACTTGCAAGGGTAGGACGTATACATGGGTTGGGGACCTTTGGACCCATCTCAGAGAGAGCCACAAAACTGGGGCCCAAAGCTGGATCCGGCCCACAGACAAGTGCTGTTTGGCCCAGTGTTAGAAACTTTGTTGAATTAGCTGCCAAACATTTGAAAATCAGACAAATTCACATGAAAGCCTGCTTTTCGAACATCTTTTGAGAACTGGAAGATATGAAGACATTGGTCTTGCATCCCTGCATGGCACTGATTTGAAGAGCAGAGGGACCTTGTATGGGAAGACAGTCTCCGGCGTGAACAAACTCCACCAGGAACTGGCATTCGTTAAAGAGTCTGACTCCTGCGGACACTGGAGTTTGCAGCAAGCTAAAGCAACGCAGGGGCTTCCCAGGCGGCTCAGTGGGAAAGAATCTGTCTGCCAATGCAGGAGACATGGGTTCAATCCCTGGAAAAGGAAGTGGCAACCCACTCTGGTATTCTTGCCTGGGAAATCCCATGGACAGAGGAGTTTGGTGGGCTACAGTTCACAGGGTCACAGAAGAGTCAGACATGACTTGGTGACTGAACAACAAAAACAAAAAGCAATACTGATCATTAAAAATACAATATGAGCCATCTACGTCACTTAAAATTTTCTAGTAGCCATATTTAAAAATATATTTAATGTGATAATTTTAATACTAAGTGTCACTGAACCCAGTATAGCCTAAAGATTACGGTTTCAACATGTAATCATATACAAAATGATGAATGAGATATTTTACATTCTTTTTCTGCTACTAAGTCTTTGAAACCTAGTTTGCATTTTTATTTTTATAGCACATCTCAATCTGGACAAACCATATTCTGAACAGCCTCATGTGGCTAGCAGCAACTATACTGGACAGTGCAGGTCTAAAGGATATTAGGAGAAGCTGAGGGCATATTGATAAAGATAGCTTAGGGAAGTAGGGAAAAGAACTAATATCTACTTAAGCATTGCTTGATATATATTATCTCACTTAATGTTCAGAGCAACTTTGTAGGCAGATATGGGCTAGATTTCATCCTTGAGCCTCAGAGAGGGTAAGCAATTCACCCATGTTCACACTAGGGCATGGCAGAATCTGGGTTTGGATAGAGATTTGTTTGTCTCCAAATCCAGGTTTGTTTGGCATCATTAAAGAGATAATTGGTTATTCTGGGAAATTAGAATGTGCAGCTTGATGTTGAAAAGACGGTTTTGAGGACTTCAGCAAGGGGCTGTATGTCCAAATCATAAAAAGCAATTAGGGAACGCCTATGAATACATTCAGGTTGATCTTAGGTGATTTGAGACCAGTTTTGATCTAAAGCCGGGAATATGTCTGTGGCCTAGAGCAAAGGAAGCTTCTCTCTCCAGGGGGAAAAAAAAGGAAACTGAAAATGCAATAGCCTGGGGATGGGAGCTGTGTAGCCAGAGTAGGGAAGAAAGTTGACTCTAAAATTTGGAACAAAATTCAAATTCCTGGGAAATTCTTCAACTTGAAATACACAAGGAAAACAAAAGAGATGAAGAGGAACCTATAGATTAAGAGTCTTAAAAGACATGTATGTCAACCAATAGCAATGTATGGAGTTTATCTGGATCCTGACACATAAACAAACAACTGTTAAAAAAAAACGACATTAATGAGATAATTGGGAATTTGATCACTGACTGGATATTTGAGGATATTAATAAAATACTGTTAGTTTTTAAGGTATGACAATCATATTGTGATGATTAAAAAAGATCCCTTATCTTTTACGGTAAAATACTAAAATATTTATACATGAAATGAAATGATGTCTGGTATCTGTTTCAAAATAATTCTTATTGATGTAAACCCACACCAACCAGAACGAGAAGCATGAGAATTGGTGCTGGTGCAGGCAGAAGGGAGCGTTCACTGGGCTCCTTTAAACGAGTGGACGGCAGCAGAATGTGTGGGCAAAGAAGGCAGCACAGGAAACAGGAGGGAAAGACTGCTGACACTGGTATCTTTAGNAGGAAAAAAGCAAGTGAAGAGAATGTAGTTGCTTATCTCTGCAGGTACCCTGGCTGCACCATCCACCGCAGTGTGAATTTGCAAGTTGAAAACAACTCACTGAATATCCCAGGAGACTTTCTACTGAGTTTCCTTGCTTCTGCTGACAGCTGATATGATAGAAGGTGAACAGGAGGTGGTGATTTACTGTAAGCTTAGCAGGGAGCTTAATTTTCACTTCTTCATAGAAGTCAGGAGACCTGTTTCAAAAGCACATTATACACAAATAACTTTTAGCAAGAATGATGGCTTCTCTGACTATAAATTGTAACGCCATGGACCCTCTGCCCCTCAGGATTCGCCTGCTTGGTGTTTCACTTTTCATTTTACATCAGCCTGCTCCTAGCTGAAAGTCCCTGAGATCAAGCTTATGTCACTGGAGACACTTCACTTACATAAGGCTGCTCACAAACTAAAAGCTTTGTCAGGAAAAAAAAAATTCCCTGCACACAATAGAAAAATCCAACAACTTAATTTGGACAAGGGATGAGGTGTAGAGTCGTGCTCTGACCTCCTTTTCTATTTCTATCCCAAGAACAGGGTATGACACTCGGCTGGCACTCAACAAAAATTTGGGGATGGGGAAAACAAATGAAGGATGCAGGAAGGAAAGGGGACCTGATTTGACTGAATTATGAAGTCCAGGAGTTTACTAATGGCTTCATGTACATTACTCATTTAACCCTCATCTCAGTCCAAGAGGGTAGGTTCAGAAAAGCACTTATATGGGCCAAGGTTACCAAGCTGGGGTCAAAGCCAAGTCCACCTGATCCTGAAAATGTGAATAATAGTTTAGACATTATTCTCTGACTCAATTTAGCCACATAAAAATGAGCATTCCATTTCTCCTTTGGTAAACTTAAACCTTAAAGTAGGTAGTGGCACAGGTGTGGAGTGGTGTATAGAAAACAAGGAGACAGAGCAAGGAGGACTGGATTTTGCTTCTGGCCCCTCCAGTATCTCAAAGCTAAGCAGGACATTTTTTTCTTTATGTAACAGCATAAAACCTCTCAGTATCATACTAGGGTAGAAGGTTCCAGAAAGTCAAAACAGTATTAGGTTCTTGAAGACACATTCTCCTGATCACAGTTACTGGCAAAAGCTGTCTGTCTGCAACACAGAATCAGGGAACTGGCATGGACTATCTCTGTCCCTTAGTCCCTGAATTTAAAAAACTGGTAGGAGGAATCACCTAGAAGATTCAGAAAATCAAGGAGATAACGAAACAAGCTTGGCATATGTTTAAAACTGGGGGATACACTTACTTGTTATGGTATGTAACGGCTGTGTACACTTCCTGCAGAAATTCAGGGCCATTGGATTTTCCAAAGATGACCTGTTTGCCAGTACAGAAAGGGTCAAATTAACTGTGATATTTGAGTAAATCAAATCAACAATCATCCCAGTAGGATGCTCTGGTCTCTTAAGAGCTGTATTTTATAAATTAAGAGCGCTGACTTCTACAAGTGACCCAACTGATGCAGAAGAACTGGCTACAAAAATAAACTGAGACCCCAAGGGGCTACATCAGTGACCGAGGGCCACAGGCTTGCGAGAGTAGAAAGCCAGTGCTCTCTCCATTTGCCTCTCCACCTAGAGGTCTATACTTCAGGGCAATGTCAAAGGGTTGTATCCTCAGTGAGATCCCTTTTCCAGCCTCTTTTCCCTGGTTACTTTGGTCACTAGGATCTTCACTGGCCACACGTTTATGCTATTTAGAAAGACTCCTCTTTGGACACACGTTAGCCCAAAAGCCCCATGACTTCACAAGTGGACTCACTTTTGGATAAATAAATTTAAAGAAAAGAGCCTTCCCTTCCAGATTCAATAATGCCCATGCCAGGTCCCAGAGCTTGATGAGTGGTGAACAGGCTAGGGTTTGGCCCCTACTTGTCCCTGGCTGGGCACCGTGGCCACCATCGGGATCTGCAGAGTGGTACCTGGCAACCCTGATGGACTTGCCAGGGGTGAGAGCAGTGAGAACTAGGGGAGTCTTCCTCCTAGGGTTTCTTCCCCACAGCCACTGCAAGAAGATACGTTGTGTTGGGAAGGTAGGTGGGACATTAAAATATGGTTTACTGAATCACTTTACTATATATATAGCAGACATTGGCACAACACTGTAAATCAACTATACTTCAATTTAAAACAATTTGGCCATTAAAAATTAATTAATTAAAAGATGCTTTTATGAAAAGTGAATATTTGAAGAAAGGGAGCACTGGAAAAAATGTCTTCAACAGAATTCTATGACTTAAAACAGTAATAGCTAACCACCATCTCATTTATAGGCAGCTGGTTAAAAAAATACAAATTCTGGGGTTTGGGGCTCCTTAGGGGACACTGCATTACATATTTTTATTTGATTTATCTTTTACCTCAGGATGACGATCCATTCCTAGAAGGTGTTGAGATGGTGTATGTTTTTTGCTACTAGGCATTACTTTTCTTAAAATTCTCTAGATGTGGCCTGGGGCTTGAATAGATGTGTATCACAGCATACAACTGAAAGTACAGCAAACATGTCTGACACCTGCGGCCTGTCTCTCTACTTCTTATGCTGTAAGGGCGGTTGGAATAAATTCATGATATTTTTCAGTCTTCTAAAATGATACGCATTTCCAAATTTCACAGCTCACTGTGGAATAAGTTTCGACTTAGGCTGACCCGGATTCCCTATCAGTATCCTGGGACCAATAATGGACCAGCCACGAAGTGCTCTGGACATGCTCAGTGGTGCTGGCCTGAATCAACACACACTGCAGACCGATCAGCCCTGGATTTTGTCTGTGTGAACTGACAAGGAAGTTCAGCCCACCCTGCTTAGAGGCAAATGTTTATTCCCCTCCTTACCGGCATAGCACTGCTGGCATCCTCTCCACACATAAACTGGATTTTGATTGTGATGTTCCGGGCAGACGCTAGTTTGTTAGCAAAGTTCAGCCTCTGTGGGTAGACATAGAGAAGGTTTCTGGAAAAGAAAAGATGAGGAACCAATCAGTAAGGTCTAGAGTCTATTTTAACCAAGTTGTTCAGGGCATGCTGAAGTCTGTACTCATAAGGTGACTGTTCAGAAGGAGATTTTCCTCTCAGAAGTGAATTACTTTTGGAGAATAAATGCATTATTGTTGATTCTTCCTCTTCAACTGCAGTGATCTGATAATAACCAACACTGTTCTCTGTTTAGCTATACAGAGAGAGGTGTCTGGTGCAGCTGAGAAAGTCCTAGAACGTAGAAACCTGCCCAGAGGTAACTATAAGTCGGATACAAAGATAAGAAAACAAAAAGGTTCTGCTCATTTTAAGAAGAAATCATGGCCACAGATGATGGCCTAATTTCATTTCTCCTAATTCCATGTAGCACCTAAAAAAAAAATCTTACTTGGGCTGCACCATGCTGCATGTAGGATCTTAGTTTCCAGACCAGGGATTGAACCTGTGCCCCCTGGTTCAAATGGAAGAGCAGAGTCTTAACCACTGGACCACCAGGGAAGTCTCCATAGTTTCAATTTTTTATTGTCATGACATATTACACTGGTTTAACTTTCTTTTCTTATATAAGATGACAGTTCATCTAAGCCCAATTAGCTATGTAACATAATACAACACTATGAATAATATATCTATCCATTCAAAAACTATAGGACAAATACTAGGCTGACTATAACTTTGTATATTTTTTCTTTCTATTTGCATTACTACTACTATAATCCACTAAAAAGTAAGCTCCATGAGGGCAGAGATTTTTATCTGATGTTTTTGACTCACTGATGTATTCCCAGCCCTATACTGGTGCCTGGGACATAGTAGTTGCCAAAAAAATTACTTGTTGAATAAAAGAATAAATGTATATACATTCAACTAACCATATTCCTGACTTTAAGAAACAACAGTGGTACTAATATTTATAAGTATCATTAATATTTATCCTAAGCTGGGTAGTTTCTTTAATTCTCAAAATTATCCTATAGATCGATACTATTTTCATGGCATCACCTCCACAACACAAATGAAAAAAAAAATTATATAGTTAGGAAATGGCTATCAAGAGCTGAAGTCAGGCACTCTGGCTCCAGAGTCACGCTCTTAACCTTATCTAAGCTCTGTTCTCATCAGATAAGGCTCCCATTAAATAAAATGATAAGAATGGCCTTTTCAGACTATTCATGACATCTCTCAGAGGCAAGCTTGCCTTAATTCTCTGGATCTCATTATCAACAGTACACCAAAGGCTGATTTGATTGTGTCATGTTCTCTGGAAAGATGTCATGTCTTCCTCACTCTTGGTCCACGATTCTAACTCCTAATTACACATTCTCCCCAAAAGGACACATTCTGGCCCCAAAGGCTTCAGATGACAAAACAACCGTTGTGTGAACTAGATTATCAAGAGAACAGCAATCAGGAAGGAGGACCAGGTGACCAGACTTTTCCCTCTGTGAATAAAGGTTCTCATGATACTTTACAAGGGTTTGCATATCAATCCATACCAGAGTTTCTCAGCCTCACCACTACTGACGTTTTGGACTGGATAGTTCCTTGTTGTGGGGGCTTTCCTGCACATTGTAGGATGTTTAGCAGCATCGCTGGCCTCTACCCGCTAGATGTTTAGTAATATCTCCCCTCTACTCAGCTGTGACAAGTAAAAATGTCTCCAGACATTGCCACGTGTCCCCAGGAGGGGCAAAGTCACCCTCATTTGAGAAAATACGTGTGAATTTTGCATTACAAATCTATACAACTATGCCTGGCAAATTCCCTATTTTTTTCCATTTATTTTTATTAGTTGGAGGCTAATTACTTTACAGTGTTGTAGTGGTTTTTGCCATACATTGACATGAATCAGCCATGGATTTACATGTATTCCCCATCCCGATCCCCCCTCCCACCTCCCTCTCCACCCGATCCCTCTGGGTCTTCCCAGTGCACCAGCCCTGAGCACTTGTCTCATGCATCCAACCTGGGCTGGTGATCTGCCTCACCCTTGATAACATAACCCTATATGCAAAACAGAAAAAGAGACACAGATGTACAGAACAGACTTTTGGACTCTGTGGGAGAAGGCGAGGGTGGGATGTTTAGAGAGAACAGCATCAAAACATGTATATTATCAAATTCCCTATCTTTAATAGATATAATCAGTGCATCTATTGGGTCCATACTCACATGTAAAGGGTTTCCACTGGAAAAACATAAAGTCAATATTCAAGAATGAGGCAGAAGAAAATTTTTAATGTTTGATTTATGATGTCAGAGGTAGTCAGGGATTGAAAAACCAAAAGAAAAAGATGAGACTGACACGGTTCTTCAGTTCTATCCTCTTCACTGTGATAACCTCCCCTGTGTGGGTGTGCACTGTGTGTGTGCATGAATGCAGGCAAATAGTCTTTTTGGATCAATATTTACATAAATGCATGAATTAACCCCATGGATCTTCCTTGCTACAACAGTATCAACATGACAACACTAAGAACCACAACCCTGGATGAGTTTCAATGACTAGGCTAGTGAACCTGCGTCTGATGGACGCGCAGACGAGAAACTGAGGCCCTGAGAGGTAAAGTGACAGCTCACTCCATGAATTAGCCTCCACGTGGGCACAGAGTCCAGCTGGGCGCTGACTCCACAACGGCTGTCTCAGTGATGCCTTCCAGACCTTGCTCTGTCACACCGAGGGACCCCAACTGCGATGCAGGCAGATAGAGCTGAACTTCAGAGGCCATCAGGAGAGGTCACAGATCAGTAATGATGGCAGAAGGCGGTTCATGGCTGGCAAAGCAGCTGTCCGTGTGGCTTATACACGCCTCTCTGCTCGCTCTCGGTCATCTCGGCGGCCACCACACCCACCAGCAGAGCCAGTGTTTCCTGAGTGGCCGTGTGGGAGTGGTTAAGGGCTCTGAAGTCAGACTTGGGCAAGCTGCTCAGCCTTTCCAAAGCCTTTCCTAAGCTAACCCCACTGGGGTCAGTAATTGCACCCACTTCCTAGGGCCATAGGGAACGTTAATGAACAAGAACTTAACGACAGCGAGGTGATGAGTGTTATCCCACAGAGCTAAAGTGAGATGCACACCCCCACCTACACCCTCCACTCCAGATCATCCTCACTTCTCACATCCTGGATCCCCACAGTGCTTTCTGCATTGCTTTCTCTTCTAGATTTGCCCCTTTCACTGGACTCCTTATATGTTGGTTAGAAGGATCTTTCCAAAGTGTAAAACAGATGATGTCAGGAGCCTACAAGGGTTCCTAAACGTCTTCTCATGGGCCTACAAGATCTGGCCCTTGGCAATTTCTCTGATGTTACCAGGCATCACTTTCCCACTGGCCTTCTTCAAGGCCTAGAATATTTCAAACTCATTCTCACCTCGGGGCTTTCTACATCTGCAGTTTTCTCTGCCTAGAAGAGCGTCTCCTGGTTCTCTAACTGACTCATTCCTTCTCATCTCTGGGGTTTTAGCTCACATGTCAATCCTCAAAGAGGTCTTTCTCCCATCCTACTTAATTGGGCCACTCCACTCACATATCCTCTCTCTTTTATAATTACATGATGATCATACATACATATGCTTACAAAAATAATTATGAATAATGATTATGAAAATACGTGATTATGAAAATAATATATGTATCCATTCTCTTCCATCTTGAATACTTGCAAAGTACAGAAAAGTAGAAAGAATAAACAACAACCACTTGATATCCCAACACAAAATTACTGCCAAGGCTAACATATGTTCTTCTAGTCTTTTTCCCTCTATATGTTAAATATTTTTATCAAACATTTTTATATACAAAACTTTAAAAAAATTTTTGTTGTCATTTAACATTGGTCAGTTATGACCATTTTCTGGTGTCACTAAACATTTGTTTTTAGGCCACGCCACATGGCATGTAGGATCTTAGTTCCCCAACCAGGGATTGAACCTCACGCCTGCACTGGAAGACAGAGTCTTCACCACTTGACTGCCAGGGAAGTCATTAAATAGTTTCAATAAACATGACTGCAATGGATGTATATTATCCCATATTATGAATGTGCCATCATTTACACAGTCTCAAAAAATAAGCACTAAGATTATTTCCTTTTCTTTTTTTTTCAGTTCTAAAGTTAGAATGAACACTTTCTATATCTTGCCTCTCTGCAACTCAGAGTACTTCTGGAAGAATCCCTTTTAATTCTATATAGTTCAGTTTCTTCAGGTTTAAATTAATTGAAAAGATACCAATCAACCTTTCTTATGCTGTGCTAGAAGAAATAATGAGCCAGAGTTCATAAAAATGCTTTGAAGTAGAGAGATGAAAGGGTCTGTGTAAATCACAATGGTAGTAGCCCAGCAAGCCTGGATAAGCAAGTCAGCTGTCAGCACACTTGTCTCCTACATCCCAAGCCAGGGCACCACCTACCTGTCCTACACATCTCCCAACACCAGTCGACAGTTTTGCACGTGGCTTCCAAAGGGGTTGCTGGCCCCTACATTCAAACATCATTACCATGAGCACTCAGCATTCTGCCCTGTATGAATGCACTTTCTACAGAATACAGAGCAGGAAAGAAACATCCAGAGAATTTAGCCCACATTCCTTTTCTGTGGCCCAGAGACTGACTAACCCAGAGAGGTTAAATGATTTTGCCTAAGAATTTTTTTAAGAAGATGCATTTCCCAAGGATCATCATAATTATTACTGGCAAGAATGCTAAGTGATATGTTTTGTTAAATCTGCATGATTTCTAAGAAATGAATGTCAGAAAATAGTGTTTTTTCTTGGAAGGAAAGATCTACCTACAGGGTCAGTAATCCACAGAGCCTCAACCAGATAAGAATAATTATCAATAAACTGATAAACAGCCTCATATATTTTACATATGGTAAATTATAAATGTGTGTGTGTCAGTCGCTCAGCTGTATCTGACTCTTTGCAATCCCATGGACTGTAGCTTGCCCGGCTCTTTTGTCTATGGAATTCTCCAGG